GGTTCATCAATTTCCTTGATCAACGATCCTACTTTATGACACAAAAGGTTCAAATGTCCACTACCAGTGGCCCCACTGGTTGGAGTGTAATGACAATACATGGAAGCCATTGCCTGATTCTTGCTTCCTATAGATGCTGCAGACAGTGCTTTGGGGCATCCACATGAAATATGCCATTGTCTAACCTGCTGACGAAGTAAGATGCATGTCTTTGAATCGAATCGGAGTCTGATGTCTGCAGAATGCTTCTTGGTGATTCCTAAAGGGTGCAGCCCATAGTGAGTGAAAAGCTCAATATATAGAAGTGGTGTTTGTTTGCACTCACCGGTGTAAACTCTGGCGGAAAGACCTGGTTTTTCATCCATTTCTGGACTTTGGCTGTGTTATAGATCTGAGTTCTATTTGTGCATCCATTTTAGAGACCTTGCTTATTTGTATGCAGACTGTTGGTTCTTTCCCTCTCGGGTAGATACATTTAGAAGTAAGCCCCCAATTAGTTGACTCTTACGACATGCTTGTTGGGGAGGCAGAGGGTCTATTCTTTTTTTCCCCACAGTAGGACCCCTGAACCCACACAGGGAAATGGACCCCCCCCGGATGGTGGGAAATGCCTATGCTATGCAGCCACTGCAATCCTTTGAGGGTTGACTAGTTCACACGAGGCTGCCCTAATGGGATGCTCTAAGGACAACACCTGTGGATCAGGGAAGGATGAAGTCACCACCCAGACGAGGCTACAAATGTCCCATGAGACTAACTAGGAAAGATAACCCAGATAGCAAATACCCAAAGAAGTATGTTGTGTCAGCCAAAAGGCGCAGATATAGTTGCTGTGCTGTAAACAGACACCAGGCATTTACATCCCTTAAACAAATGATTGCTTAAAAGAAGCTAATGGAGATAGATCTCTATATACAACAATAAATAAGAGACAAACACTGTTCTTTGGCCACATAATAAGAAGAGAGACATTGGAGAACATCGTGACAACTGGAAAGATCAGTGGAAAAAGGGGTAGTGGCAGAGCAAGAGGGATGATGCTAGATGGGCTGAAACGATGGCGTGGAGGAATATCATCAAGAGAACTGTTCCAGGCAACCAGGGATTGTGATATGTGGAGACGCATGAGCGCCTACGCCAGTTGGCAGGGCACATGATGATGATAATGTTACATTTCTTTCTTAAATGCCAGAGTGATGATGATCACATCACCCATCAAGTGCCAATTGGTCTATAAAATTCAGGCCTAACCCTATATGCCCAGTACGCTTAAAGGCATGAAAAAAGGTCTTTTACTTTTTTTTAAACTTCCTTTCTCAGATGCCTGTTGCTCTTGCACCTGCAACACCACTGCTGGCTGCAACTGCTCCACCAGTTCCTGTAGATTCAGTCCAGTGTCCAGCCATGATTACAGCTTTGACAGGTCAGTGCAGGTCACCCAACGCTCTCTATACCACACATACCCATTGACAAGATTTATCATTATCATCATCATATGTTGTCCTGATAAACGTAGACTGTCATGTTTCGCCATTTCATGCATGTTCTTGTTATATCATGAATCGGGTCAATGGTCTTGTCTGATCACTGATCAGGTCAGTGATCTTTCTTGCTCTATACACTCACCGATATGGCTAAGCCACCCATTTATTATTTTGTGTGTCTTTCCCTTACTGTTTTTCCCCATCAATTTTGCCATTTGTTACTAAGTTCTCAAGTCCGTTACTTCTCATAGCATGTCTGAAAAACACTGTCTGCATCTAATTTGCTACTCAGGCTGCAACTGTTACAAGCAACTGCCTTGTTAGTTCTCCTGTCATTCCATGATATTTTTAGTTTTCTATTCAGAAATTCTTAAGAAGGTATAATCCATTGACCTGTAATCTTTCCTCCTGGGCTTAGGTGGGTACATAGGGCACAGGTCATAGCTCTTCGTGTCTGGCAGTTCGCTGCCATCTGCTTCAGGTCTCTGATGTTTATTAGGCCCATGGTCCAACCTTCCATGATGATGGTTCTAGGTAGAATCTTTCTTGGTCTTCCCCGCTTTCTTTCTTCCTTATTTTCTTTTCCCCACCGGAGTCCACTTGAGGGCTTGATGGGGAAGTCTTGTCTTGTCCATTCTGAATGCATGGCCGATGTCATTCCCGCAGCTTTCTTATAACATTGGATACATTTTCTTGCTTGGTCTCTTGTCTCATTTTGTCCTTGGAATTTAACAAGTTTGAATGTAGAATCATAAAATTTAGAGCTAGAAATCTGACTCTAAATCAAAGGGTGTTTGATAATGACGACTTGTTGTTCGTCGATCAGCAGTCCTAAGCCAAGCTAGAAGGAAACACATCCCTCCATCTTGACTCAAACCGGAAACTCCACTGACTTTACTGTTGAATTGTTGTTCTTAACTATTTTCTAAAGTTTTAAAGCTAAAATAAAAACACGACAATGTAAATAAAGATGGAGGAACTGATAAGAGATATTAAAATAAGAATACAAAAGGCAAGACAAGCTTTCATAGCACTAGGGAATTTGTGGAGGTCAAAACAATTTAAAAAAAATACTAAACTAAAAATTTTTTATTCTAATGTCAAATAAGTACTTTTGTATGGGGCGGAAACATGGAGAGCAACTAAGGCAATTACTAATAAATTACAGACATTCATTAACTGGTACCTGCGCAGAATAGAAGGAATTAAATGGTATGATAGAATAACTTATGTAGAGCTTTGGGAGAGACCTAAACAGGCTCCAGTGGACCAAGAGGTGAGGAAAAGACGCTGGCGTTGGATAGGACACACACTGAGAAAACAGGAGAACAGCATAACTAGAATGTCTTTGCAGTGGAACCCACAAGGGCATCAGAATAAAGGAAGGCCAAAAAACACATGGAGAAGAAAGCTGGAGAATGAAGTTAGAAAGATGGGGAGGACATGGGGAGAGCTTCTTGTCTTCTTGAGTGCCATCTGCCTCTCAGAGAACTTTTTACACACAAAATGTGCAAATTGAAGAGACAATTTATGAAGCCCTTAAAGCTATTTTTTTTCCCTCCTAAAAAAAATTGAGTGCGTTATAAATTTGTGTATATTGTTCTGTATATTCAAACAGGAACTGTGCCTAATGTGGCTTCAGTTGCTCTAGCTGGAAGTCAAGGTCCAGCAACCATTGGTAAGATGATGATTCTTTTTCTGCCTGTTCTGTTTGAGCTTCTCTTATAATCTAAGCTCTGTGTTGATATTACTCCCAACCCTTGTCTCATTGAGGGATTTTGACCATGTTGAGAGTCACAGTGGACTGGAGAGAAAACGATGATTCATCTTCTGCCTGTTTGAGCTTCTCTTAAATTCCAAGCTCTGTGTTAATATTACTACCAACCCTTTAGGTTTCATTGAGGGAATTTGACCATGTTGAGAGTCACAGTGGCCTGGAGAGAAATCGGTGATTCATCTTCTGCCTGTTTGAGCTTCTCTTATAATCCAAGCTCTGTGTTGATATTACTCCCAACCCTTTAGGTCTCATTGAGGAATTTTGACCATGTTGAGAGTCACAGTGACCTGGGGAAAATGGCGATGTAGGATGGTTTCTGGGAAACAAGGCAGAGGCAGACCTCAGCAAAGATGGATACAGAACAGTGAAGATGCATTGGCCATATATGTCTGGAGAAATGGCTAGAGAGAGACTTTCAGGCCTGCTATGATGAGGAGTCACGTTCTGCAAAGGAACTGCTGTTTGACTAGTGTTTCTTTATTAGTTTTTGGCTATCCCCCGAATAACGGGCACCAAAGATGGCGGCCGCAAAATATCCTGACGAGCCTCAGTCACGTGTCAATTGCGCACTTGCGGTCACGAGCACATCGCGGGAAAACTAGGGTTAGTGTCTGTTGACAATTTCGAAAAACGTAACAAACCGCCGAACTTGCCGCCGAGAGTCTCGTGCGGCGCGGATGGGGCTAAACTAGATGGCTGGGACCCACGAGCAGCAGCTTCCGCATCTCCTGCAGCTTTGCTCGTGAGCCCTAGCCATCTAGGGGGGGGGGGGGGGGGGGGGGGGCTACCCTCGGCGGTGGCCGGCAGTCCCCGAAAAACCGCAAATTAAGTCGCCGGAAGTGCGCAATTGATACGTGACTGAGACCCTGTCTTTAGCTGCCATTGGCTGCCATCTTTTGTGCCCGTTATTTGGAGGATAGCCGGTTTGTGGATGCTACTAAAAAAGAAAGCTGCGTTACCAAAACAGTACGAGCCGCGCCTTGTTCCGATCGTACTTAGCCGAGTTTCAATGGCGTAACAGCCACAAACAGCAGATTTTTGGGCGCTATTTACAACTTCTGTGATATAATTTCCAGATTTAAAGACATAAAATTATCGGTAAGTAGTCGATTCGATATAACATTTTTTTGGTTTCTTATTTTTTATCAATTTTTTAAATGTTTACAACACATGACACGTGACTGAGGCTCGTCAGGATATTTTGCGGCCGCCATATTTGGTGCCCGTTATTCGGAAGATAGCCTAGTTTTTTCCTGTCATTTATTAAAGTAAAGAGTAAAGGACCTTTTTCCACGCCTTTAGGCGTATAAGGCATATAGGGCTAGACCTATATAGTGGAGTCTGGATAAGTAGAGGTCGCAGGGACCTAAGAAAATGCTTCCACTTATCTAGACAGCACAGACAATAGAGAAAATTGCCGGGACTAAGCTGGTCATTTCGACTTGACCGAAATTCAACTTATCTGAGTTCGACTTACGTGGACGGACTGTATTTTATAGACCTGCCATTTTTTTTTAATATCTTCAGAGAGAGGGAACAATTGGAGGACACAAGGGGGGCAGTCTTTAGCATTCCTGCTAATAAGATAGTTGGTAAGACAGATTAGCACAGCCAGGCATGAGAGCCCCACCAGACAGGTGAAAGGTCTTGTCAGCTGGCAAGGATCCAGCACTGTTACCCACAGAAGCTGAAGGATATGCCGATGGGGCGATCCGAGTACTTAATAGACATTTCTGAAGCCCGTGAGAATAGCATATTTGAAAGGCTGTACTTTTGTTTTTGCAGTACCTAATGCGGCAGCAGCAGCAGCAGCTCCCAAAATATTTGGCAACTTCAGTGCCACCTCAACACCCATCACAACCACAACAGCAAAAACCTCCCTGTTTGGTTTACCTGCTGCGAAAGAGACTGGCAAGTTCTCCTTTGGTGGTCTGACATTTTCATCAGCTCCTACAATTGAGCCTGGCAAGGGACAAGAAAAGGCAGCAGTCGAAGTTCAGAAGCCACAGCCAGGTAAGAAGTGCTTTTATTGACCTGACTTTCTTCGCTTTCATTGTTGTATTCTTCTTTGTCTTTTTTATACAAGGGGATTGATACTTTATGTAGGGTTTACAGCTAGGCTGCGATATCCGCATCTTTCGGCCCAGTTTTATTTTCAACTCCCTAATTAATCGCCCTTTATGTCAATTTTTTAAGGGGGTAGTGCGGTGGAGTTTAGGAAGAAAATTTTCGCATGCTAAATAGAGCCAGTTTTAACATAGGGCTGTGAATTTTTTACGGTTTTTTTGAGGGCTACAGAAATGGGGTTTTACAGAAGAATCCTTAGAATTCTTTGGACAGCCAAAAACAGCAACCCAGATGTCTTCAAAGAGGTGAGGACTCAAATACAACTTATCACAAACATCAGAAATAGACATCATTTTTTGTTCGTGTTATGGAAAGGAAACTGGAAGATATTGTGACCACTGGAAATATCTGGAGAAAGAGTGACTGGATGTCAGTGCAGGAACCTTTTGTCATGGCATGGAAGGGTGGCAACACACAAACTGATACACGCAGTTGCAGATTTTGAAGAGGCACTTGGCAAGGCCCTTGATGATGATATGTATATTCTTCTTTTTCTTCTTTATGTCCTCTTTTACCACTTCGGGTGTCAAGAAAGATATAAGGTCCTTTTGCGCGCTTTTCTGGCTGCTTCGACCAAAGACACATCATGGTACTGTTGTGTTTCTCTGATGTTACCCTTCCATATTGTTCTGATACAGATGATCTTCCATGCCATACTATCAGACAGTCCGGCATCTTCTCTCTCATCAGTCTCCCTCTGCCTCTATTCCCCTCCAGCTTTCTCATCACCTGACCACGGAATGTAGATTGTCTCCTTATCATTGTCAGTTATCTTTGTGAATCAGTTTTTTTCTTTTAAGACATCTTCATTACCTGTTTTCTGTATCCATGGTATTCTCATCATTTGTCTATTAAACCACATCTCCACATCAGTTTTTTAATGATCTATTTATATATCTTAATATATTTCGAGAGAGAGATGTTAATAAATAATTTAAACTGTTTATTAGAAACCTATATAATTTAGTTGATTTTTCAAAAACTAATATACCCTGGAATTCCCATGGTTTCAGGACTTTAAAAAAAAATACATTTGCGGAATGAAAGGTTAACCCTACTGGGCCGCTGGCCCAATTTTTCAGGAATTTCTTAACCTGACGCTATACCTAATTTTCGGCTATTTGCATAGTGCGTGAAAAAGATGCGTCACAGACTAAAAATAACTAGTCAGTCCTAATCAGACCTCATGGATAGTCTTCCTAAATGTCCGCCCTCGTGTGTTTGGATAAAATTTGTTGTTTTGCGTGAAAAAATTCTGAAAATTCTCAATAAAACGAGCGGCTGATGAATCAAGCACTTCGAAAGGAAAGTAAAGTTAGTCTAGGCTTTTCACAGTCCAACAGATGATCGATACTTTGCTTTATTCAGACTCTGCAGAGTCATAATTTCATGAAGAATACGTTCACAGTTGAAGTGACACATTCAGCTCGAATAATGAGGAGAATCTGGAAAATTATAAATCTAGAAATAGATCGGTAGTAAGAGAAGGGCGAGTGTCCCTCAAACAGCAACATCTGGTGCTCACTTTGTGAAACAATCTTGATCCTCCTGAGTGGATTGGCACACAAAGGTGGAATATTAGCGCTAGATAAAAGATAAGTATTATTTCTACAATGTCTACAAGTTTCTTCTTATTCTAGCCACTTGTTTGCATGTAACTAATATTTTTGTATATTATTTGTTGATTTTTTGGCGTTAATGCCCAGGAGCTCAGGTATAGGGGACAGTTAGGTTCAGGGCCTTAGGTGTGGTAGGGTTAAACACCTTTCAAACAAACCACCAGATCTCCGAGGCTTTTAATGCTAACAGTGAAGGAAAAGACCCTATTCACACCATTAGCTTGTCACACATATTATGCTAAACCAAAATTTTCATTAAAGCAATCATTACTCAAGGGTTGGAATGACCAACATCATGCTTGCCGCCTTTACTTCCAAAACATTTTCTGGCACCTATTTTAGGTTGGCCTTGCTTTCTTCTTCTTGTGTTCGCTTTTTGATTTACACCGATAGACAAGCTGTAATCATGGGGGGGGGGGGGGTGGGGGGGGGGGGGGGGGGGGGGGGGGGGTTTGATCTACCTTTTGGCCCAGTAATTTTTTACTTCAGGAACTCTTGAGAGGGAGAGTGGGCTCATCCTTTTACCTTACCTCGTTTGTTGTTCTATCCAGTTTCCAGCTGGGGGTTAAGAGCCCAACCTTCCACTGCATTGCTGGGAAGAACAGGGTCCACCATGTAGGCTTGAGCAAGAGAGGCTAACTGACATTGTATGTCTTGTATTGCACATGATTGCTCCATTTGGACCCCAACTCAACCTAGATCAGTTATAAAAATCTGCAGTTCTGATTTGAACCGAAAAACCTGGGGTTGCCAGGGAAGTACCTAACAAAGTGGGTTGTTTGTAACTCTGGCTGTTTACTGTCTGCATTTCCAGCAGCCACCAAAAGTGAACCAGCAAAACCTTTTGCTGGCTTCTCATTGACTGCCGCAGCCACAACAACCAAATCAGACGTAAAGTTGTTGCCACAGAGTACTTTGAGTAGTGGAAAAACTGGTGAGTACCTCTTTGTTTGCTGTACATGATCTAAACAATGTACGACCCAAATTCCAATCTCACTAACAGGCCGTAAGTCAAACTAGTATAAGTTTAAATTTTTCAACACTTTTCAGGTAATAATTTTTTTTTTGCATAAAACAGAAATTTGATCTATGTATGTATAGTTATTGTACATAATGGGAAAAAAATATATGAACTTTACTGCATCAGTTCTGGGAACTTTTTGACCCTACCAAAATAGTTATCTTTTTTTTCATCCATTAGTTTTTTAACATAAAAAAAAAATTTTTTTTTGGGGTGGTTTTAAGTAGTGTTGAGTGGTTTTGAGGTATAACATCCGCCTGAAGTGCTGGAGGGATTTTTTTCACGTAGACTTTTAATAATTTCCCACGGTCTCTAGATAGTAAGATCAGATGCCAGTGTGTATTGTTGCGCACGTAAAATAATACCTTGGCAGTTGGAAATTGAAAATAATAGACCAGGCAAAATTTTGAGTAACAATTCTACCCAAAGTATTTCAGGATTCTGCTTGTTTTTGTTTTTGGTTTTTTTACAGTTACAAAAAAAGGTTCCTGTGCGTTGTGGAAAAGGAGGGAGGGGGAGAAATGTAACATAATGGTAATAATAAGTGTTGAAATAAAATGACAGCGTGGACAGGAAATTTCCCACACTGGGTACCATCTGACCTTGCTACTCTACTTAAGTTAAGTTCCATTTTCACGCCTTTCGGCGCATCGGGCATATGGGCAGAGCGTCCCATATATTTACAGACCATCAGCACTCTGAGGGTAATGTGGTCAGCATTACGCCGGTTGTCTTTACTTTCCCAGGACAGCCCATCCTGGTACCCATTTTAGGCTGGGTCGACCTGTGACGTCCCATACCACGACAAAAATCCACGCAGCCTGCAGTGGGTTTCGATCGCGGTATGCTGGCTTTACGAGTCGGACTCGCAACGCCTTAGCCATGGACGCCGCTGCTACTCTACTAGACACATGATGATGATGATGATTATTATAACTACTGTTTTTGGAAATTTTAGAATCTTACATCCTCTGGGTTCATTATTTTTTTTTTTCCAGCTTTGAGCAATGAGAAGGCTGGATCTCCTCTGGCTGATCAGAAACTACAGGGGGCAGTGCAGAAGGTGCCAGCAAGCATCATTAAAAGTCCAGCAGGCGGGGAACAAGATCACGTGGAGGAGTATGAGCCCAATGTGGATTTCAAGCCAGTGATTGCATTGCCTGAGCTTGTGGAGAAGAAGACAGGAGAGGAGAATGAAATTGAGGTGTGTCAGGTTGTCTTTCATTCATTCAGTGTCCTTTTGTGCCATTATATTTGCAGTCTGTTTATGCTGTCTCGTCCCGTGCAGTCCTTTGGATATCCTGGATGGAATCCATACCAGCACCTTTAGCTTCTCTCATCAATGTTTGCTTAAGGCAGGGTTTCCCAAACTTTTCCTAGTCGCTGGACCTTTTTTCAATTACAATTTTTCCACGGCGCCCTGACCGAGGTAAAAATATGACTATTCATATGTAAGAGATTTAAAAAAAAAAAGTAAAACTCGTGTATCTTTGAATATTTCGCGGCGCCCCTGTGAAGAGGTCGCAACTTCCCAGGTCGCCGTGGCGCACAGTTTGGGGATCACTGGCTAAAGGGTTCATCTTGAACGTCCTCGTTTCTTCAGTCCATCTCATTTCCTATTTCAGTGCCTGTTTGGTGAGTCTCTGTTTATCTCTTCTTAGAATGTGACCGCCCGGCTCTCTAGCATAGTTGACTAAACCAGACTGCGCGGTGACCAGGTGACGAACTCCTTGTGGTCCAGGTTCACTCCCAGGGGTAGGCAGAAAAGCCATTTCGTCCCAGATTTACGGTACCTATCATGGAATCAAGGCCGAAAGGTTGCGATATCCATAGTACAGAGCCAAAGGGTCAACATAACAACTCATGGTTTCTGGATACTTAAAAAAAAATAGATTGTGTCCAGTATAGCGCCATTTTCTCTGTTTTGTAACTGTTGATACTAGTTGTTGCCCAGACATTTCTCTGTTTTGTAACTGTTAATACTAGTTGTTGCCCAGACATTTCTCTGTTTTGTAACTGTTGATACTAGTTGTTGCCCAGATATTTCTCTGTTTTGTAACTGTTGATACTAGTTGTTGCCCAGACATTTCTCTGTTTTGTAACTGTTGATACTAGTTGTTGCCCAGACATTTCTCTGATTTCTTCACTAGGTAGGTGCTTTCCTGGAGAAAAAAAAATTGTCTCATTCAATAAGCATCCACAAAGGGGGAGCTTTAGGTTATAATTGTGACTAGCTTATGTGCCCCATATAAAATAGCTTAGCATTGCTTGCCACCAAAAGCTCTGACAAGAACTCCTGCAATGTTGTGTTCAGAGGATACAGACCCAGAAACTTTCCTGACGCCGAGTATTCAGCTGGCCAGTCAATGGGCCACCTGGTCACCGATCTATTTCTTTACTCTCCTTAGATTGATTTAATGCTCATTATCTTCCTCAGCATTTGTTTTTGAATGCATTTAACCTTTGTTCTTTATCTTTAGTCGTTTGCTAACATTCTCTTGTATATTTTAAAACTGAAGTAACATTATAATGAAAAATAAATAACTTAAGATTTTAAAACTGTAAAGTTCAAAGTGCCATATTTTGTTTACTTTTAAAAGCTGCTGATGCCTTTCCAATCCATGTCATAATTTCTTTCTTTGTATTTCCTTGACTATCAATATCAATAGCTAAATAATTCATATCAATAGCTAAATAATTCATATCAATAGCTAAATAAGTATGGTAGTCTTAGTTTCAGCTTCATGGCAAACGGGTCACCCCATCTTTGCTCCGCTCCTGTGCCAATGAAAAACACACAGAATGTTTATCACAGTCCCTTGTGGAAAGATTGACAGACTGCTGTCTCAGCATATCTAGCATACACACGCATTAAAGCATACAGTAGCCATCCGAAGTGCTAACACAAACAGTCGGACATTAGAAATGCAGTTCATCATCGACGGTAGCAGAGGTAACCAACAAATGAGCAGTTGTCCACGCGATCAATTTTAATCACATACGGGCACCACTTACATTGCGACGACAGGCATCACACCATTTTCTGAATCTACAATTCACACCACCAATAAATAAATAAATTGATCTGCTAGTGAAATTCTTTAGGTTCTTTTAGACGGTTGTTATTATGAACCCCATAAGGAAAGTGAAGAACAGCAACAAAGTAAAGGACCCTTTTCCTGTCACATCAGGCATAAGACGCCACACTCATAGATTTTTTTAAAGACCAGGCAGCTTTTGATCGTTGATGTGGTCATCATCATGTCGCCCACCTTGACGCCCGACACCATTTCCTGATAACAATTTTAGGCTGGGTTAACTTGTGAGCAAAAGGTACATTTTTATCCCAGATCCAAGACCAGATCCTTCGGGCTGCTGGAGGACATCTAGTCACTGCACCGCTGCAGATATTTAAGGCATCAGGCTACTGGAGGACGTCTAGTCACTGCACCGCTGCAGATATTTAAGGCATCGGGCTACTGGAGGACATCTAGTCACTGCACCGCTGCAGATATTTAAGGCATTGGGCTGCTGGAGGACATCTAGTCACTGCACCGCTGCAGATATTTAAGGCATCGGGCTACTGGAGGACAACTAGTCACAGCACCGCTGCAGATATTTAAGGCATCGGGCTACTGGAGGACAACTAGTCACTGCACCGCTGCAGATATTTAAGGCATCGGGCTACTGGAGGACAACTAGTCACTGCACCGCTGCAGATATTTAAGGCATCGGGCTACTGGAGGACATCTAGTCACTGCACCGCTGCAGATATTTAAGGCAAGGGTGAAAAATAAGTTGGCCACAACAGATCCTCAACACGCTCTGTTTCTTTCTTTTTGTGTGTGTTGTTGTTGTACACTCTTTCAGACTGCCTCTTGTCCATATCTTGATGTTTTCCTTCCACTTGAACCATTGTCTGCCTCTTACTTTCTTGACCTCGACCTTTCCCTCCAGTATGGTTCTAAAAGTGTTTTGTCTTTTAATGCGGTTAAAGTATTTCGGTTAAAAAAAAAATTTTTTTTTAAACACTTTTGAATTCCAAAATGTCTAAATATTTATTCGCTTAGTACTTAAGACTGTACCAGTCATTAAGGTCTTTAGATCTGAACTATCCTTCAACATGATGTAATGTGCAGGTGTTTGTCGACCGATGTCGTCTGTTCCGCTTTGACCCGGAACTCAAGCAGTGGAAGGAGCGTGGAATCGGCGAGATAAAGATCCTTCAGAGCAAAGATTTGGTGAAATTCAGGATCGTGATGAGGAGAGAACAGGTAAATCTTTCAAGTTTTTGTTCATTTAGTCTGCTGTACTCTTCCTTCCATCATTACCTTTTCTGTCTAGGAAGTATATTCTTAGAGGAGGAGAAAATTGGTAGGGAAATAAACACATGATGCCAGCGAGCCATAGCAGTTACATAGCAACTGACACCGTTATTAGGACATCCAGGCCTAAGTATGAGCGGCAAGTAACAGATTATAAACTGTACATTTATACCAACACTATGCTACTGGTGCCAGGCTTGGACATTATCAAAGGCTGAATGGCACCTTTCTGGCTTTCCAGATGATAGTGGTATATAGTGCTGTGAGGACACCAGTAGACTTGCATGACTTGTCTAAGGTTGTCATCAATCTGGGGAGGTACGGCAGGATACCTGCCAATGTAGATGCCGAGATTAGGGCACTGATTGATCAGCATGCACACCCTAAGGAAGACGACATTTACACAGATGTGTATGTGAAATGTGGGTCAAGATCGGCATGGGCACACACAGCACAAAGGATGGGGGAAAATAATCAAAATGGATCGTGAAGCTTACCAGACCACAACGCCAAGCATGACCATTGAGGTAACTGCTGCTTCTAGAGCTCTCGCATGGGTAGCAGAACAAGCGAGCACACATGTGATAATCATTTCAGACTCCATGAACATGCTTCAGAAAAATGCGACAGGTGGTCTACGCTCTGCAAGGGTAGAAAGCATTTGAAAATCGCAGTTAACCTCCATCATCTGGATCTACACACCTTGGCACACAGGAGTAAATGGTCATGAAAGAGCTGACCAGCTGGCAAGTAATGCATCAATGCAAATGGGAAAAAAAGCATGGACAGAGCTAATATCATCAACGCTGTACGGACTATGGTGGGGGATATTGGTGAATCTCCGACTATGCCGTCTTCGAGGTAACAACAGGAGATATAACCAACTTCTCATGGGAACAGTTGGTAGAGGTACGTTGGAATGGCTTCTGCAGCTGAGAACTGAGCACGCATGGGGATACCCAATGTGCAAAGACGTTGATTGTGATAACATAACATAAATCATTGCACTATGAGGAGGCATGGGATACAGTCCATGACCATGGCGAGTGTGACTAGCAAGACCTGCCTGCTTCAAGAAAACTCCTCTTCTCCATAGTACAAAGCCTTGGCAGTATTGTAGTGACTATATTATACCCATGCATCATGATCTCTCTCTTTCTCTCTGCCTGCCTTGTTTACTCCAAAGGAAAGGTAACACATGAAAAAATCTGACGTGAAAGTAAGTGGACACTCTAGGAGAATATGAATTGATGACATTAAGGAGCTTCTACATCGACACAGAATGACAATAGCCGTTGTCACCAGTGGATTGCAAACTGTTCCTCCCCACAATACTTAACAGAAGTAGGTGATGATAATGATTCCCTCTGCTGGCTCCCTTCTGCCACCAAGTCTAGCAAAGATGTAAACACGCCATACCTGCATGTGTTTGTGTGCATGAATCCAGTACCGCTTATGCCTGGTATAACCTTTAAAATGTTTTGAAATTGGTCGGTGAAGCTTGCTACAAACCCTGAGTAAAGGACCTTTGTCATGTCCTTTGTGCACTAGTCATATAGTGCTGGTAGTCGCCATGGCAGAGCGGCTAGATGCTCGCCGCGGATCAGAAGGTTGTGGGTTCGCTCCTTAGTGAAGCTGGACTTTTTTTTCTTCTAAAAAACAATGACCTTGGCATCCAGGTTGACCCAGCCTTGATTGGGTACCAGGTGCAGTCCCTGGAAGTAAAGGCAGCCGGCGAGATGCTGACCACATCACTTATCTTGTACCGATTGGTCTTCTTGGCAATAAAAACGGATGAACAACCGTAACTTTCTGCCAGGATTTACTAAGAACACTAGAAGAAGCCAATCCCTTGTGGCCAGTTTCCTTCTGTATGAACTGCAGAAACTCATCCCCTGTCAGTAATTGGTCGGGGGGAGGGGGGTCAGATCTGAATGTTGAATTAAGAATTACAGCACCCGGGACAATCTCATAAGTGCTCAGTCCCCATCTTCAGCAGCAAGCGAATAGTTCAAATTCCGATGGTACCAGTGACCGTCTGATTGTATATCCATCTCATCCTTCCCCTGAGTGTTGAGCATCGGCCAGATCCCCATTTTCCTTAGATCGTAATGATCTCTCTGTGCCTCCGCACTGTTCACCCTTTCCAAAAAGGCCTTTACAATATCTAACTTGTCATACATCAATTAATTTACCACCAAGTGGTGCAGAGCCAGCCAGTCTATCTGCCTGCTAATTTCCCAACACACAAGCATAACCTGGAGGAAATATCCAAAGGATGCTAACTACCCGGGACCTCTGAAGTCAGATCTATGAGTACCTGAAGTATCTCTTTAGATAAGTAAAAACTCTGAAAGAATGTTGCTAGAAAATCCTAGAAAGTCAGGAGAAAATAAAGAACCAGTGTGGGAGAATTCTGAAGTTATATTTTACAATCTTTTTTTTTTTAAACCACCCATTTCATTACCAGTGTTAACATACTGTTTCAGATTCTTAAGCTGTGTGCTAACCATTTCCTCACGGCTGACATGAAACTGACCCCTATGGCAGCCTCGGATCGTGCTTGGTGCTACTTTGCCAATGACTTCTCTGAGGAAGAAATTAAACATGAACATCTGGCAGTGAAGTTCAAAACGGCAGAGAAGGCCAAGGTCTTCCAGGAGAAGTTTGATGAGTGCTGTAAGCAGCTGAAGGATGAGACTGCAGTCACGTCAACTTCTTCTGATGGAGGTATTTTGTTCTTTGTGACTTATTTAACTGATAGTATTTGAGCTCTTGTTAACATAAACACTTTTCCATGACTCATCTCATGTTATTGAACTTATACTTTATGTTTTTAACAAGTTAGTTTATTATCCGATTAACCGTAGCTCAGTGTTGTATTTTAATTGTCGACTTATGTCATTGAACATATATTTTATGTTTTAACAAGTTAGTTTATTATCAGGAATTTCAGAGAAATTTGACTAAAAAGCTCAACAAAACAGGGAAGCAGAAAAACGTGCACAAAACGTCACAACGTAACGTTTCCGCCGGGCAGCCTTTTTCAAACATAAAAAGGCTGGCCGGCCGAAACGTTAACGTTGTGTTGTTTTGTGCACTTTTTTCTGCTTCCCCATTTTGTTAAGCTTTTTAGTCAAATTTATCTGGAATTCCTTGTATTAGGTTGACTGCAGTCACCCCCATATTTTCGCTTGTTTATTATCAGATTAACTGATAGCACAGTGTTGTATTTTAACTGTCGACTTATGTCACTGAACATATATTTTATGTTTTAACAAGCTAGTTTATTTAAAGATTAACCGAAAGCACAGTGTTGTATTTTAACTGTTGACTTACATTATTGATTGACACCATTCCCCTCTATCTTGTTGTATTTCTTTTGATATATTGAATCCAGTCGAGCTTCTTTGGCCTCTCTCTCACTCATGTAAACTCCGGCAGAAATTCCTGGTTCGTTCACTTATTGATTTTAGTGTCTAGCTCCAGTACTTGGGTCTTGTGTGCGCATTCATTTTACAGATCTGGCTTATTTGTTCAGACTGTTGGTTCCTTGCCTGGCAGATGTACTTTGACTTTGCAGGAAACACTTATAACATGCACTGAAACCCGCACAGGAATCTCATTAAAGTTCATTTTAGGGCTTCCTCTTTTCATCAGTACCATCTGCTTCCCATTTCACTGCCTGTTAGGTGATATTTTATTGCTTGATTCATATTTTATTAATGATATGTATAAGACTGTTTTTTGATTCACAGAAAACAGAGTTGGAAAACCTTCAGTAGAAGCCATCAAGGATGTACAGAAACCCAGTGATAAATCTAGTGTCTCCTTAAGCTCCGATAGCAGATCATCCTTGAGCAGTATGTTCAAACCCAAGGCAGGAAGCTGGGAGTGCGGAGGCTGTTTGGTGAGGAATAATGAGGATGTGCTGAAGTGCCCAGCATGTGGTGCAGCTAAACCAGGTTCGCAGCCTGACAAAACAGTTTCTCAAACAATTACCACTGCCACACCATCGCTGAGTGAAATGTTTAAACCTAAGATGGGAAGTTGGGAGTGCGGAGGCTGTTTGGTGAGGAATAATGAGGATGTGCTGAAGTGTCTTGCTTGTAGTGCAGCCAAACCAGGCTCGCAACCGGCAGCTGGTGCCACACCATCGCTGAGTGAAATGTTCAAACCCAAAGTGGGTAGCTGGGAGTGTGAAGGATGTCTGGTGAGGAACACTGCAGATGTGGTCAAGTGTGTGGCTTGTGGCGCCATCAGACCTGGAGCTCAGGCTGATACTGCTGCCAAAGATAAGCCAGGCTCTTTGTTCTCGTTCAGCAGCAAGGCTGGCCCAGCAGGTCAGTGGTCACTCCTTTGTTTTTCTACTTGTAGTTGCAAGACTGACAGCTGTTTCTTATCTACTTGTTGTAGTTGCAAGACTGACAGCTGTTTATCTTCTTTGTGTAGTTGCAAGACTGACAGCTGTTGCTTATCTTTTTGTTGTGGTTGCAAGACTGACAGCTGTTTCTTATCTACTTGTTGTAGTTGCAAGACTGGCAGCTGTTTCTTATCTTCTTGTTGTAGTTGCAAGACTGACAGCTGTTTCTTATCTTCTTGTTGTAGTTGCAAGACTGACAGCTGTTTCTTATCTACTTGTATTTGCAAGACTGACAGCTGTTTCTTATCTTGTAGTTGCAAGACTGACAGCTGTTTCTTATCTTCTTCTTGTAGTTGCAAGACTGACAGCTGTTTTAAAAAAAAATCTTTTTGTTGTAGTGGCAAGACTGACAGCTGTTTCTATTTTCTTGTTGTAGTTGCAAGAATGATCACCATCATCATCATGTGCCCTGCCAACCAGCATAGGCACTCATGCATATCCACAGATCACGACCCTGGTTGCATGGAACAGCTCTCATGATCATATCCCTCCATGCCATCTTTCAGCCTGTCCAGCATCATCTCTCTTGGTCTGCCTCTACACCTTTTTCAACTGATCTTTCCAGTTGTCACAATGTTTTCTAATGCCTCTTTTCTCATTACATGGACAAAGAACAGTGCTTGTCTCCTTGTATATAGAGATCTACTTTCATTAGCTTCTTTCAAACAGTCATTGTTAGTTAATCTGGCCATCCAGATAATCGTAATATTTGTCTCGGAAATGCAAGAATGATAGCTGTTTTTATTTTTTATTTTCTTGTTATAGTTTCTTGACCGATATATAAATTGCTGCCTGCTGCTTATTGTAGTGTATATTCTTATCTTCTGCTTATTGTAGTTGCTATATCAGTGTATATTCTTATCTTCTGCTTATTGTAGTTGCTATATCAGTGTATATTCTTATCTTCTGCTTATTGTAGTTGCTATATCAGTGTATATTCTTATCTTCTGCTTATTGTAGTTGCTATATCAGTGTATATTCTTATCTTCTGCTTCTTGTAGTTGCTGTATCAGTGTATATTCTTGTCTTCTGCTTATTGTAGTTGCTATATCAGTGTATATTCTTATCTTCTGCTTATTGTAGTTGCTGTATCAGTGTATATTCTTATCTTCTGCTTATTGTAGTTGCTGTATCAGTGTATATTCTTGTCTTCTGCTTATTGTAGTTGCTATATCAGTGTATATTCTTATCTTCTGCTTATTGTAGTTGCTGTATCAGTGTATATTCTTGTCTTCTGCTTATTGTAGTTGCTATATCAGTGTATATTCTTATCTTCTGCTTATTGTAGTTGCTGTATCAGTGTATATTCTTATCTTCTGCTTATTGTAGTTGATATATCAGTGTATATTCTTATCTTCTGCTTCTTGTAGTTGCTGTATCAGTGTATATTCTTATCTTCTGCTTATTGTAGTTGCTGTATCAGTGTATATTCTTATCTTCTGCTTATTGTAGTTGCTGTATCAGTGTATATTCTTGTCTTCTGCTTATTGTAGTTGCTGTATCAGTGTATATTCTTGTCTTCTGCTTATTGTAGTTGCTGTATCAGTGTATATTCTTATCTTCTGCTTATTTTAGTTGCTATATCAGTGTATATTCTTGTCTTCTGCTTCTTGTAGTTAATCAACACCTGTAACTTCTATTCTGCTTGTTGCAGTTACAAGACGGACACCTGTTTCTTATATTTTACTTGTAGTTGCAATACTGACACCTGTTTATCTTCTGCTTGTTGTGTTTACAAGGCTTACACCTGTATCTTTTCTTCTTTTTGTACAAAACAGACACCTGTTTCCTATCTTCCGCTTGCTGTAGTCAAAAGACATACACCTATTTACTTTCATTTACTTGTATGTTCAAGTTGACGCTTTTTTTTCCTTTCTTTTTCTTGGACCAGCTTCTGGGTGATTAATAAGTTTTTACTTAACTCTGTCTTTAGAAACCGGGTTTAAATTTGGAGCTGCAGCAACTACCACACCTTCACAGCCGACTACCGGAGGGTTTGTATTCCAGGCCCCTGCAGCCACCACTTCCAGTGCATCATCATTTAAATTTGGAGCTGTTGCAACAACTGCAGCAAGTACTGTCCCAACTACAGCCGGTTTTGCTTTCAAAACCCCAACACTTACAGCATCACCATCAGTTACACCTGCAGCCACAGCCTCTACTGTCCCACCTAACATCGGTTTCGCTTTCAAAGCTCCAGCGGTAACAGCAGCACCATCGGTTACATCTACAACCGCAGCTACTTCAACTAGCACAGGCTTTTTCTTCAAGCCGACAACTCAAGCAGCATCTATTACTTCCACGACAGCGGTGACAACTACCACCTCCGCATTTAAACCAGGATTCACCATTGGAGCTGCCACCACCACCACCACCATTGCTACAGCTACAACTACAGCCAGCGGATTCAGCTTTGGTACATCCAGCTTTGGTTTCTCTCCTGCAGGCAGAGCTGCTGCTAGCACCCCTGGCTCAGGTCTGCTGGCAAAGCTGTTGACTTCGGATGATTCTGTTGCTGAGAAAGCCAAACCAGCAGGTACATTTCCAATAGAAAACTTTGCTATTAGAGACTCTTACAAGTAGAAAAGTTTTCTTCTTCCTCCTCCTCCCTTCTTCTCCTTTCTTCTCAGTTTCTTTATTCTCCTCCTCCTCTTCTCTATTTTTCTCATATTGCTGCTTCTGCTCTCGTCTTCTTCTCATATCTTGTCCCCCTCATATCTCCTCCTCCTCATATCTCCTCCTCTTCATATCTCCTCCTCCTCATACCTTCTCCTCTATCCTCCTATTCTTCTATTGCTGTTCATGCTTTCTTCTTTACATGTCTTGTCCTCCTCATATATCCTCCTCATCCTCATACCTTCTCCTCTGTCCTTCTATTCTTCTGTTGCTGCTCATACCATCCTCCTCTCATGTTTTCTCCTCCTCCTCATATCTCCTCCTCTGTCCTCTTATTCTTCTCTTGCTGCTCCTGCTCTCTTTTCCTCTTCTCACTTTTCCTCTTCTCACTTTTCCTCTTCTCACTTTGCTTTCTTTATCTTCTCTCCTATCCATCTGTTGCTGGCACCGCTCTCTTCTCTTGCGTCTGCAAGTGTGCATGCAGTTGCTTATGTATGTTTTTGAATTTATTAAGTATAACTTTTTATGAAAGCAATGGCCACATACTGAAAGTAAAATTGCCCAGTAAAACAAAATGGCCATAAATACTGGTGTTGGTGTTCTCAACATCATGTGAAAGATACACCCACCCAAAAAAATTGGGTTTTATGTATACATAAATTTAGTCTTTGTATTTGTGTTGATAAGATCATACATACTACTACTACTACTACTACTACTACTACTTCTTTGCTCACTGGCTGTAAACTGCGGCAGGAGAGTCCTGGTTGTTGGTCCATTTGGACTTCGACTCTGTGCTGGGGCCTGAGTTTTGTGTGTTTATCTGTTTTAATGGCTAATTTGTGTGCAGTTGGTTGTTCCTTGCTACTCAGGCAGATGCACTCCCGACTGCGGAGGAAGCTATTAATTAGTCGACTCTTACCACATGCTTATTGGAGCGGCAGTGGGTCTATTCTTGTTTTCCCTACAATGCGGCCATGGAACCCACTTGGGGAGAATATACGTACAACTTATGATATTTTTCTGTGAATGTGCTCTGCTTTCAGATTATCTTTATGCCTTTTGCATGCTTACCTGTTGCCCACTCTATTGCTCACCCACTCTTTGGTTACCTGACCATTCTTCTACTTATTTTTCACTCACCTGTTGCCTGCCTACTTATTGTTCTTCTGCCTATTGCTCACCCACCCATGTTTGCCTGTGTATTTCTGTCTCACTCACCTGTTTCTTGTCTACCTATTGCCTGCCTATCTATTGCTCACACACCTTTTGCCTGTCTATTTCCTTCACATTCACCTGTTGCTTGCCTGTCTGTTGCTCACTCACCTGTTGCTTGCCTGTTGCTCACTCACCTGTTGCTTGCCTGTCTGTTGCCCACTCACCCACTCACATGTTGCTTGCCTGTCTGTTGCTCACTCGCCCACTCACCTGTTGCTTGCCTGTCTGTTGCTCACTCGCCCACTCACCTGTTGCTTGCCTGTCTGTTGCTCACTCGCCCACTCACCTGTTGCTTGCCTGTCTGTTGCTCACTCACCCACTCACATGTTGCTTGCCTGTCTGTTGCTCACTCGACCACTCACCTGTTGCTTGCCTGTCTGTTGCTCACTCGCCCACACCTGTTGCTTGCCTGTCTGTTGCTCACTCACCCACTCACCTGTTGCTTGCCTGTCTGTTGCTCACTCGCCCACTCACCTGTTGCTTGCCTTCCTGTTGCTCACTTTCCCACTCACCTGTTGCTTGCCTGTCTGTTGCTCACTCGCCCACTCACCTGTTGCTTGCCTGTCTGTTGCTCACTCGCCTACTCACCTGTTGCTTGCCTGTCTGTTGCTCACTCGCCCACTCACCTGTTGCTTGCCTGTCTGTTGCTCACTCGCCCACTCACCTGTTGCTTGCCTTCCTGTTGCTCACTCGCCCACTCACCTGTTGCTTGCCTTCCTGTTGCTCACTCGCCCACTCACCTGTTGCTTGCCTTCCTGTTGCTCACTCGCCCACTCACCTGTTGCTTGCCTTCCTGTTGCTCACTCGCCCACTCACCTGTTGCTTGCCTGTCTGTTGCTCACTTGCCCACTCACCTGTTGCTTGCCTGCCTGTTGCTCACTCACCCACTCACCTGTTGCTTGCCTGCCTGTTGCTCACTCGCCCACTCACCTGTTGCTTGCCTGTCTGTTGCTCACTCACCCACTCACCTGTTGCTTGCCTGTCTGTTGCTCACTCGCCCACTCACCTGTTGCTTGCCTGTCTGTTGCTCACTCGCCCACTCACCTGTTGCTTGCCTGTCTGTTGCTCACTCGCCCACTCACCTGTTGCTTGCCTTCCTGTTGCTCACTCGCCCACTCACCTGTTGCTTGCCTTCCTGTTGCTCACTCGCCCACTCACCTGTTGCTTGCCTTCCTGTTGCTCACTCGCCCACTCACCTGTTTGCTTGCCTTCCTGTTGCTCACTCGCCCACTCACCTGTTGCTTGCCTGTCTGTTGCTCACTTGCCCACTCACCTGTTGCTTGCCTGCCTGTTGCTCACTCGCCCACTCACCTGTTGCTTGCCTTCCTGTTGCTCACTCGCCCACTCACCTGTTGCTTGCCTGTCTGTTGCTCACTTGCCCACTCACCTGTTGCTTGCCTGCCTGTTGCTCACTCGCCCACTCACCTGTTGCTTGCCTTCCTGTTGCTCACTCGCCCACTCACCTGTTGCTTGCCTGTCTGTTGCTCACTCACCCACTCACGTGTTGCTTGCCTACCTGTTGCTCACTCACCCACTCACATGTTGCTTGCCTTCCTGTTGCTCACTCGCCCACTCACCTGTTGCTTGCCTGTCTGTTGCTCACTCACCCACTCACCTGTTGCTTGCCTGTCTGTTGCTCACTCACCCACTCACGTGTTGCTTGCCTACCTGTTGCTCACTCACCCACTCACCTGTTGCTTGCCTTCCTGTTGCTCACTCGCCCACTCACCTGTTGCTTGCCTTCCTGTTGCTCACTCGCCCACTCACCTGTTGCTTGCCTGTCTGTTGCTCACTCACCCACTCACCTGTTGCTTGCCTGCCTGTTGCTCACTCACCCACTCACCTGTTGCTTGCCTGCCTGTTGCTCACTCACCCACTCACATGTTGCTAGCCTGCCTGTTATTCACCCACCTATAGCCTACCTACTTATTGCACACCTACTGTTTTCTCCCTTACATATCCTTTGGTTTAGAATGAGCTAACCATACTTAGTATTTCTTCATCAGCAGGATTCAACTTCACAATGCCAGCAAAAACTCCCACAGCCTTTGGGGCTGCAGACACCAGCAGCACCATTACCAGCGCAGCTGCAGCAACTCCAGGCTCCAAAGGTTTCCAGTTCAGCTTCAGCAAGACTCCTCCTACAGCCCAAACCCCAGCGGTGGTTCCCAGCTCCCCCGAGGTAGACGATCATGGGCTGTATGTCAACAAGGAAGGTGATGACTCCCACATCCACTTTGAGCCCGTGGTGAAGCTTCCAGAGAAGATTGAGGTATGGCAGTTGGCACCTGTGTTGGTGGTTATATGTCAAGTCCATCCATATGACTATTGTAAAGTCTAAGAAAATATGAACATGGTTTATAACTGTGAAGTTACTGGTTCAATTCCAGCCTCATCAGGCTGTTTTGCATTGTTTTTGACAATGGTGTTGTTGACACAAGTTAAAGTATGTTCTTGACAATGTCTGGGGAAGTCTGCATGATGTTGATTACATGACCTGACAAGTGCAGAATGGCTACAGAAAATATGGTCCAGCATTTTCATATTCCTGATGCAGCAGTGGCACAGAAAGTCCTTAACATTTTTTGTTTACTTCAGTGAAAAACAGCTCACTTGAGTTAACACAAAAATGTTGTCAGAGCAAGAATAGAATCCCAATGTGGATAGAATCCCAGCAGGGATAAAACCCCAGTGTGTAGAATCCAGTTGATAGAATCCCAGCAGGGGTAGAATATTCATTATACATCTGTCAGTTCCTGGTCAATCTGTTTAGATCACTATTGATCACTGGCATCATGAGAACTTACAGACTGAAATTGAAATGGCTTGGGCATATTGGGAGAATGTTAAATGGTAGAGAGGTAAAAACTGTATACATGATTGGGTATATTGAGAGAATGTTAAATGGTAGAGAGGTAAAAACTGTATACATGATTGGGTATATTGAGAGAATGTTAAATGGTAGAGAGGTAAAAACTGTATACATGAATTGGGCATATTGAGAGAATGTTAAATGGTAGAGAGGTTAAAAAACTGTATACATGATTGGGTATATTGAGAGAATGTTAAATGATAGAGAGGTAAAAACTGTATGCATGATTGGGTATATTGAGAGAATGTTAAATGATAGAGAGGTAAAAACTGTATGCATGATTGGGTATATTGAGAGAATGTTAAATGATAGAGGTAAAAAACTGTATACACAATGGAGATGAATGGTCGTAGACCATGAGGGAGACCAAGAAGATCATGCAGAGGTAACGCCCAGACAGACCTGCAAACACTTGGTATCACTAATTGGAAAGAGAAGGCCAACCAGAGAGATGAATGGAGGAGGCTGATATCTGCAGTAATGAACCTCAAGTACTTAAAACGCTGTAGAAGAAGGCCAACCAGAGACATGAATGGAGGAGGCTGATATCTGCAGTAATGAACCTCAAGTATTTCAAACGCTGTAGAAGAAGGCCAACCAGAGACATGAGTGGAGGAGGCTGATATCTGCAGTAATGAACCTCAAGTACTTAAAACGCTGTAGAAGAAGGCCAGGACAACCAGAGAGATGAATGGGGGCGGGTGATATCTGCAGTAATGAACCTCAAGTACTCGAAACGGTGTAGAAGAAGGCCAACCAGAGAGATGAGTGGAGGAGGCTGATATCTGCAGTAATGAACCTCAAGTACTTAAAACGCTGTAGAAGAAGGCCAGGACAACCAGAGAGATGAATGGGGGCGGGTGATATCTGCAGTAATGAACCTCAAGTACTCGAAACGGTGTAGAAGAAGGCCAACCAGAGAGATGAATGGGGGCGGGTGATATCTGCAGTAATGAACCTCAAGTACTCGAAACGCTGTAGAAGGCCAACCAGAGAGAGTGGAGGCAGGTGATATCTGCAGCAGTGAACCTCAAGGACTCGGAACGCTGTAGAAGAAGGCCAACCAGGGAGATATGCGGAGGCGGGTGATATCTGCATCAATGAACCTCAAGGACTCGGAATGCTGAAGAAGAAGAAATTCCTGGTCAGCATTAATTTTTGTTAAACACACCCTTTTGTGTGTGTATGTGTTAATGAGATTTTACTGTATTTGAGCTCCATTGTCGTGGTTCTCAGACAGTGGTACCAGAGTCTCACTGTGGTTGAGAGTTGGGCCTTACCACATAATATTTCCTAAAGACAACAGCAGTTCACACTAAGGCCAAGCTTCGTTATGGAGAGGCACAGAATACGTACAAACTGTATTTGGAAGGAGAGGGGATACCAGGCCACTATCCTTCCCTAAATTCTTCTGTTGTATTAGAATGAACTTCTGACTTCATACAACGGTACCTGTCATAAAAGTCTACTGCAAGATTTCCTACAGGCTCTCCTATGTTCTAGAGGTGTCATGTTTTGTTATTTTTAGTGCTATGAGCATATAGTTTTCCTTTTTTTTTCTTCTATTTTTGTGAGCGGCAAACTTGTTGTGTTCCACGTTGTGAGCGGCTGGCACTGTGTGTGTTACTTACATTGTGCGTTTGCTCTTCATTGTTATCACTGCAGCCTTACTTGGGGACTTGATCCAGGGCCCATTCCAAAATGTAACCTATTCTCAACCAGTGAGAGACCATAAGAGACCTAAATGACAGAAAATAAAACTAGTTGAACAAAAGAGAGCTCCACACTTTCGTGTCAGGCCTCGAGCGAACGGGAGCCGCTTTTCCGCACGGTGTGTATAGACGGCAAAGAAACACATATCCTTACACACTTACAGCAAAAAAAAAAAAAAAAAAAGCCTGTGGGAACTGCCAAGAAGAAGTGGGAAATCTCACACCCGACCTGATTGGGTGATTTTTGTGATGTGTACAACTTATTAAATCAAATATTCTTTTGTCACCAGGTAAAGACAGGAGAAGAAGACGAGGACATTCTGTTTGAAGCCCGTGGAAAGTTGTATCGTTTTGTGTCCTCTGAGTGGAAGGAAAAGGGAGTTGGAGTTCTCAAGATCCTTCAGCATAAAGAATCCAAGAAGACGAGGCTGCTGATGAGGCGGGATCAGGTACTAGTTATCTCCTGCTGTAGTTTTGTTGTTTGTTACCTGTTTTGATTATTTGACCATTATTCAACATGTTTGAGGTTTGAAAAACAGATCAGCATCTTGGCACACAGGTAGTAACCATAAGTACTTTGTTCTTCTTCTAAGTCAAGTTTGAGTCAGAAGAAGCTCATCACAGTGCACAGGCTCTGTAGCACCGGCGAGGATCCTGAAATACTTTGGGCACATTTTAAACTCCAAATTTTGCCTGGGCAGCGCCGTTAGGCTACTCTTTTCGATTTCCAACTGTCAAGGGATTTTTTTACGTGCGCAACAATGCACATGATGTCCGATTTCACTACTCAAAGACCAGGGGAAATTACTAGAAAGTCCAAGTTCACTTGAAAAAATCCCAGCCCTTTTCGGGATTAAACCCAGAACCTCAAGTATTCGAGGCGGACACCATGCCACGAGATCACGCAGGCCACTAGCATACAAAGAAAGAATGTTGAAACGAGTAGAGAGGATCAATTTTATTGTACCAGGTGCGATTCCGTATAGCTCAATCTCTCTCACAGAATGGCTAGACAGCGCACAATGCACAGTCTGTGTAGCTTTGGTGACAATTCCCAGGAATTTCTATAAAAATAGCACTTGTGAACCAAGTGATGTAGTTGTGAAACAAACCCCTGACCATCAGAGCATAGGTCATGACCACTGAGACCACTTCAAATAAGGAAAAAATATGGTGCGGTCACTTGGGCAAGGAGCAAAAATCAGAAAGTTAAATTGTCTGTGGAGATGTTGCTGTACTGATGAATAGATCATGTGTCATAGAAACAACATTAATCTTTCTCTTCTTCGCTGCTAGTCTGCGTCTGTTCCTGCGCGGGTGAAAATAACTGGATGGCATGCTTGATTTCCCCTACCGGTGCCCCACATTTTGTCTTGCAGGGTCGCTTCCTGTGGTCCAAAGTCTGGGCAATCTTGTAAGACATCATTACAGTCAAAAACAGGTTCTGAAGAGAGTTGAGTTGTGTCAATAATTGATTGACAGTACTGGTCTCACAATCTGGTTAAATGTCCGTCTTGCCTTCCCTCTGAATGTAGTGAGCCGGCCAGACCCTTTGGTGCTCATTCTCTCCAGGCGGGAAATAAAAAGATAGCTTTTGAAAAAAATCAAAGGCACAAGTGAAATATTTTGATGTTTTAAAAAGACAACACTCATGTAAAAAGCACACTGGAGGGAAAAGTTGGCAAGTGAGCAAGAAGTAGAAAGCGATACAAATAGCAGGATAACACACACAAAAATGAATTACCAGCCTCAAAATGTACAACCAGAAAGAGAGACAGATGGAGATCTATTGTAGCAAACCTTAATTGTGGATACATCACTTGTTTTATTGATTTAGTAATTATTGTTTCATTGTTGGACACTTACATCCTCCAATGAACGTAAAGTTGTGACAACAGAGATGAAATGCCTTAGAAGAGCTGCAGGAGTTTAAGGAAAGACAGAAAATAGAAATCACGAAATCAGACGAATGCTAGGAATGAAACCAGTCTTACGGGTCATCAAAGAACAACAAATGAAGTGGTTTGGACACCTAACAAGAATGCCCTTGTACTATCTGCCACAGCGAGCCCCACTAAAACGTTACAACAGGTATAGAGTGAGCGGAAGACCTCGGAAAATATGAAATGAACAACCTTACAGAAATGAACATTAGTCTTGACAGAGCTTATCAACGAATGTTACATCTCCCCCAAAAATTTTGCTTAGGTACAAGGTGGAAGAGAAGAAGAAGAAGTAATTATTGTAATTTATAGTAGACCCATCAAATAAATTATTGTCCCCATATGGGGTCTGGGGCCCCATTATGAGGGGGAAAAGAATAGACTCACTGCACATCCTTAGCAGGCATGTTGTAGCAGGCAACCAGTTGGGCGGTGTTTTCTTCTAAGCCAGAGCTGTGAGAAACCCAAAGTCTGCATATGAGTAAGCCAGATCTGTAAATCAGATGTGCACAGCACTCAAGTTCTGGAACAAGACCAGAGTCGAGAAGTGGGCAAACAACCAGAAATTTCCATAGGAGTTTACAGCCAATAAATGCTAAGAGAAAGAATAATAATAATTATTGAGAAATGGGATAGGCTAAAAATAATTAATTATATCACTGGAATCCATTCAGGTTTTGCAGTCTGCTGTAACCACATTTTTGTTTCACCATGAAATTCATTTCAGCTTCTGAAAATCATTTGTATCCATATTATTGTTTCATTGTGGAATCCATTTCAGGTTTTGAAAATCTGCTGTAACCACATCATTGAACCATCTCTGAGCCTCCAACCCATGGCAAAGAGTGAAGGAAAAGCCTGGGTGTGGTATGCCCTGGATTTCTCTGAGGATGAAGGCAAGATGGAACAGCTGGCTGTCAGGTACTCATCATCATCATGTAGCTTTGCAGACTGGGTACTCTCATCACTGTCCATTGTAGCAGCCTCATGCTCTTCTGTGCCCAGGGTGCCCACTTTCACAGTTTGCTTCTGCCTTGTTTCAGCAACAGTGCCTTCATTTACTGTTTGTTCCCCCTGCTCCTTCTTCCATCTTCCTCCTCCTCCTTTTTCTTTGTATTCTCCTCCTCCTTTTCTTCCTCGTCCTCGTCCTCCTCTCCTTTTTCTTTATCTTTTTCTCTTCCTTGTCCTCCTCCTCCCTACTTTTTCTTTGTCTTCTCCTCCTCCTTCTCTTCTTTGTCCTCCTCCTCCTTCATTATTCATCATCTGTAAAGTTTGGGAGAAAGTCCTGGTTGTTTGCTAATTTCTTGACTTTGGTTTTGTTCCAAGACTTGAGTTTTGCCAGTGCATCAGTTTTACAGATCTTGCTTATTTGTGCAGACTGTTGGTTCCACACCTCTCAGGCAATGTGCCTTCAAAGACACTCAGTCCTTTTTGCATTGCACAGGTGCCTGGTTGGCAAGCTGTTGCACGACTACAGAGCGATTACATCTTGCTTCTGTTAATCAAACCTGTAATGTTTTTTCCACTAGTGGTGGAGTACACTCCAGACTCACCCAGCAGTCGTGTGCTCAAATTGTTAAAGTTAGTTGTGTGTCCTTTTTCCTTTACAGAAAGTTGCAGAACCAACACTGGCATGTTTTTGTTTAGTTTTGCTGTATGATTTTACTAGGCTTTTTGACTTTCGGTAGTTTGCCACTGCCTACTGGAGGGTCGGCTCTTGATACGCTCTCAAAAACAATGCAGGTTGGTCTGCTGCTAAATCACCTGCAGCTGGGATTGAAACCAGCACTTTGGCATTACAAGTGATTTCTTTTCTTGTTAAAGGTGTATAAGGGCAAGATTTGTTGTATGAGACCAGGATTGATCCCGTATGGCTCAGTGTCTTTACAGAGAGGCTGGGGTCACCTATTTAGAGCATCAAATATAGCATGGCTCCAGCAAGATTATCTGAAACACCTGCAGTCATGAACCAAATGTCACAGCCCAAATGTAAAATCCTAACTTTCAGGTCATAAGGCAGAGGATGTCACCACTTTGCCATGGAGACTCCCACCACCCCCTCTTTTACACACACAGACACTCTGTCTCTGTCTGTCTGTCTGTCTGTCTGTCTGTCTGTCTGTCTGTCTGTCTGTCTGTCTGTCTGTCTGTCTGTCTGTCTCTCTCTCTCTCTCTCTCTCTCTCTCTCTCTCTCTCTCTCTCACTCTCTCACTCTCTCTCTCACACACACATTCTCTCTCACACACACTCTCTCTCACACACTCTTACTCTCTCTCTCACACTCTCTCTCACACACACAATCTCTCACACTTTCTCACACACACACTCTCTTACACAGTCTCTTTCTCTCTCACTCTCTCCCACTCTCTCTATCCCTCCCTCCTTCCCTCTCTCTCTCACACACTCTCTCTCTCTCTCACTCTTACTAGACTAGACTTGTAATACTTTGTTTAATGTAGAAATCTGACGTCTGTTTAAATGTTTCTCTTGCAGGTTCAGGACAGTGGAGATTGCTGCAGATTTCAAGAAGGTATTTGATCACTGCAGAGATAGCACTGGTGTGACCCCACAGAAAGTGGACGCAGCAGGCCACCATGTAGCAGATGCTGCACACCCTGCTAGGAAAGTGCTGTTTAGGGATACAGAGGATGGTAAGTGATACTGTCAGGATGCTACTTTAACCCTGTCTTGAAAAGGACTAAATCTAGTCACTTCTGGTTGTGACCCAGTTCCCTAGATGCTAATTAATCGACCTGCCTGCAGTGATCTGTTAAATGACATTGGTTCCTTGTGTGCCTGCACAGTTTTTAATAGGCCAAGATATGAATATAGTTACTAACAATTAGGGCTGTACCGAATAGTGATATAGTGATTTTCACTATTCGGCCGAATACCAATAGTGAGACCAACTATTCGGCCGAATACGAATAGTGTATCATCATTATCATGTGCCTTGCCGACTGGTGTTGGCGATTTTGCCTCGCCACAATCTGCGATCTGCTGCAGCATGTATCAGTTCGTGTGCTGACACACCTCCATGACATGCAACGACTGTCAAGAATCTTCTCTCGTTTCTTTTTCTATCCCTCCTTCCACAGATCTTTCCAGTGGTCACCACATGTTCCATTTTCACTCTTCTTTTAAGATGGCCGAAAAATGATGACTGTCTTCTTCTGATGTCTGCGATTAGTTGTCGTCGGGCTCCCGCCTTTTTCAAAACCTAGTGGTTGCTTTTTTTTAGGCTGTCCAAGGTATTTTAAGCATTGTTCTGTAAAACCACATCTCTGAGGCCTCAAAAAATTGTTTAGCCTGGCTACCGATTGTCCAGGACTCATAGCCATATGTTAAAACTGGATGTATGTAGCAAGCAAGACAAAGATAAAGATATATTGCATAAGATTTTTTTTTTTTTTTAATAATATGCAGTTTTTGCCTGTCCTATTTTTGTTTTTTACTTTAGTAATGCATCTTTCATCTGATTTTATCCATGTGCCAAATTAGCATTTAAATGATCGTTCGTTCAGGCGTTCGTTCGATAATTTAAATGCACCTTCATATTCTGGTTCGCAGTATCTTCAATTTGATTTGGGCAAAGACACCCCGAAAGAACGAAAAAATGCATGCTCTCTCTCTCTCTCTCTCTCTCTCTCTCTCTCTCTCTCTCTCTCTCTCTCTCTCTCTCTCTCTCTCTCTCTCTCTCTCTCTCTCTCTCTCTCTCTCTCTCTCTCTCTCTCTCTCTCTCTCTCTTTCTCTCTCTCACACACACACACAGATACACACGCACAAAAGCAACAAGAAAAGAACGCATTGCCTTTAAAGATATGTGCTTACTTGACGAGGCTAACAGTTAATATTGTACAGACCACATTTTCCACTTCAAAATTTGAGCAAAAATGTAGTCACAACCTTGCTTATCTGCTGCACCTTCACGATACAGATGGAGGATTGGTCGCATGTCGGGATAAATACAAAGACAATTTTTAGCAAGCTGCGATTGGCATTTTATACAGTATGATACACTTTGAGTGTGAAAAGAAGAAAAAAAAACCTTTTTCAACAGTGGCGAGGAAAGACAATTTAAATTTTAACTTCCAAGTTTCTTCATGCCTTCTTTAACACATCAGTAGCGTTGCCTAAATCTGTTGTAGCGGGGAAAACTGCAACCCGGTTGCGTGGAAACAGCGCATGCTGTCTCCTCCGAGGCATCACAGCAGAGGTTCTAAAACTGGGTGCGTATGCCAGGGGTGCCGCGGCGAAAATCAAGAAAAGTCAGCTATAAATTGTGACATTGTTAATGAGAGAGTTATTTCAGTCCATCTCAGTGTATGCAGAAATCACTATTCGTATTCGGCCCGACCACCACTATTCGACCGAATAGCTATTAGGTCCTCTATTCGGCACCGAAGCGAATACGAAGCGAATATTCGGTACAGCCCTACTAACAATAGCATTTATACAAGTTTCCTCAAGACCCTAGTGGCTTTTTTAAAGACAAGTTGATGCAAAATTTTCCTGTGAGTCTTATGATAGAAGTAGTGAGGTGACAGCATGAGTCACCCGTTACATCTCGTTTCTTCTTTTTCTTCTGCGTTCATCTGAAGATGTAATTGCAGTGTGTCCATTTACAGCATAGCTGCGATATTTGCACCTTTTGGCCAACAAATCCGACTTTGCGGGCATTTTTTGACCGGGTTAGCCTTCCCGGTTACATCTGTTTTCTTCATGAATGATTCTATTTCATGCCTCACTCTGTTCTTGTTTATTGACTACTTCTTTAATGTATATATATATATATATATATATATATATATATAAATAAAATGTTTGAAATGTAGATATGTTTAAAAAATATTTTTTGTGTGTGTGTGTGACCTGAATAAATTGGATGTTTTTTTTAAAGAATACCTTGTTTGTGTGGACAGTAACCGCGGTATGTCCAAGCCATAGGATTCTGGGCTGAATGCTGCTGATCTGCCAAGCAATATTTAGTGGTGCGTGAGGCTAGTGATACATTACTATATAAATCTGGCCCCTAAGCTCACAAAATAGCAGAACACGAAAACATATGTTTGTGTGCAGGAAAAATCCAAATTTCAACAGCCAAAGAAGTAATAACCTAACAGTGGTATTAGAAACTGTCTCACCAAATCTTTTGATTTTACTAGTGAAGTGGCTCTCAACCTTCCTAATGCTGCAACTCTTTAATACAGTTCTTCATGTTGTAGCAACATCAACCATACAAATATTTTCATTGCAACTTCATAACTTCAGTGAATATATGTTTTGCTATGGTCTTTGGCGACCCCAGTTAAAGTGTTGTTCAACAAAAAAGGGGGGGGGGGGTCCCGACTGACAGCTTGAGAACCATTGGTACACATGTTGCGGACATGCTCAGATATTAGGTGACTACTGTTCTTTGTCTCTGAACAGGCACATGTAGGAATATTTAGAAGGGCTTCAGTAGTGAGTATGTCTGGCCACAGATGGAGCGAGGAATTATAATCTTAGATTATCCCACAAAAATGTATTGTGAGGAAATCTGGGTTTTATGTTTACAATGAAATTTTTAAAATCTGGCTTTTTACCAGATTGGTAATTCTGAGGTTGTCCACCCTTGCCCTATGTGCATGCTTGCCTCCTATTGGTTGCTTCTTTAATTCTGTCACACCTACTTATGTCCGTGCCTATGGCTCAGAGGTTACAAAGATGCTTTGTAATTCCAAGGTGCCTGGTTGGATTCCAGCTGCGGCAAATTTGGCAGCAGATCTCCTTTGCGCTGATTTTGACAGCGGTGTCAAAAGCCGACCCCTTTCAGACCAGTTGCAAACTACTGAACGTAAATTTGCCTAGTAAAACGAGACAACTAACAAATGCGACGTTTTGGCCTGCAGCATCCTGCAGATATGACAATGTTTCTCAACTAGGCAGCTGAACGTACTGTTGGTGACCATGGCTCTTATTATGACCCACTGCCTCCCCAACAAGCAAGTCATCAGAGTCGACTAAATAGGGATGTCAGAGTGCATCTGCTTGAGAGGCAAGAAACCGACAGTCTGCATACAAATAAGCCAGATATTCATGCAGCGCTCAAGTTGTGGAACAGGATTAAAGTCCAGAAATGGATGGCTAGAGTTTACAGCCAGTGAATGCAAAGAAGAAGACGATGTCATATTTACTGTGATGCAACATTGTTTTTATGTGACCGTTTCTAAAGAATGTCTCTCATATCTGCAACTGTCGGTAGCGTTGCTAGCGATGTCATATTTGTTGTGCTGCTACATTATTTTGTTGGGCAACAGCTTCTGACAAATTGTTTCTCATATCTACAGCTGTGACACTTGTCTTGAGTGATCATAGGACATCACTATTGAATAATAATTTCTGGCACACTTGTTACATCTACAGCTGACTTCACTACTGATGACGATGTCATATTTGTTGGTGAGGACAAGCCCACAGAGGAGCAAGTGGCTGCAGCTCGCAAATACCTGCTGCCGGACTGCTTTTACCTTTATGAGAAGAAACCTCCCTGTCCAGGATGTATTGGTTGTGAAGATGGAGAGCTGCCCACAGGACTTACCCCTGCCAGCAAGACAGTTGACAAAGGAACAGACAAACAGGCTATAAAGGAAACTGTCAAGGAAAAAGACAAAGAGGTTAAAGGTAAGTGTAATGTAAGAAATGATGAGAATGACAATTCCCTGGATGTGGCGATGAGTTGTCAGTTGTTGTGGTGTGAAAAATTAAATGAATTAGACTCAATGAGTATGCTAGGAAGATAGAGATGGACAGTGGTTGGTGTCTCTGCAAGGTCAGGGCTGACATTTTCGTGCCAGGGCACGCAGGCGTGCAGAACATTGAGCTAGCTGATAGGTGGATGAGCCATGGGCAGGCTTAAATACTGAATTCTGTACAGGAAATAAGACATTTTGCAAGAAACAAGTGACTGTGAATCTGTAACCATGATCGGACTGCAAGCTAAACGGGGTGTAACCAGACAATTTGGCAGCAAACCGCCTTGCGTTGGTTTTGGCAATGGTTTCGAGAGCTGCCTTTTCAGAGAGCAGTGGCAAACAGCTGAATGTAAAGTTGACTAGTGAAATCTTAGCATTTTCCCCTCCAAGCTGGGATTAGTTTAGCAACAAACTTTTTTTTTCTAAATTTTACCGCCATCTGTCTCTGAAATGAGATCTTGATATTACTGCAGCCCCCACCTTTATTTCAGTTGATGTCTTATTATCACCCAAATTTTAAAAAAAATGTAAGATACAACATGCTGCAGTAACAAATACTTGCAACTGAAACGTTTCAAATTAATCCCATTAAATATAATTTTTACAGAAAGCACACAGGCCAAAGAAGTAGCAGCCAAAGATAATCATGTATTTGGAGCTACTACAAATCTCCCAGATTTTGCAAGTATAACGTCAGATGTGCCAGCGGATAAACCTTCGAATGGAGGGTTTGTGTTCGGATCGGGGACAAGTGTAGATTTTTCCAGCCTGGCCTCAAGTGGCAAGTCTGACAGCTTTTCCTGGAAAACAAGTAAGGATGGGTTTTTATATATGATGAATTGGAATGTTTGACGGCGAGAGTCCCTTTCCCTGCGATTCCTGCTGAGGCCGGTTGCGTGGCCTGTCTTATGTTGTGGGATTGTTATGAGATGGCTTGGTTCGGCATTCACTGTATATAATGTTTGTGGAAGTTTAGGTAGTCAGGAGTCTCTTTGGGACACTGCAGACGCCTGTGTTCAAGTACTTTCTTCACAGCGAATGTTCGTAAGTATCGAAATTGGAATGATTTTTGTATTTATGCATTCCTTGACGCTGGCTTTTCCCTAGACAAAGAAGCCACTGACAGGGAGTGTAGAAATGAAAAATATCCCAGTCTGAATACCCACAAACCGTCTGGCAAGTAGTACAGTGTGGAAATAATCGCGCAAGTATGCAGTGATAAATTGTGAAAAGAGAGAATGGTTAAATCATAATAAAGGATACCTAATGCTCCACAGCTTAGGACAAGCTTTAGGAGGGGAAGTTCATGATGGGTACCGATGAATATAAGATTGACTGTATGAAAGACCCCCCCCCCACCCACCCACCCGGCTGTAATCCCCAGCAGAAAGTTCTGATTATTCGTCCACTTAAAAGTTGGCCTGAGTTTTTGCATGCACGTCCGTTTTACTGGCTTGTTTTTTGTGTATTTGGCTGTTCCTTGCCGGTCGGGCAGGTGCACTCCGACTTTGAAGGAAGTCCCCACTTAATTGACTCTTATGACGTGCTTGTGGGGAGTCACTGGATCTATTCTTGTTTTCCATCACATGGGGACCCAAACCCACCCGGGGAGTAGGCAAGATAGATTATAAAAAAAAAAAAAAAAAAAAAAAAGACATAACATTTTTTAACATGCATAAGAAGTGTAACACTCTTTTTTTTAATAATATATAGGTAATTGAAATTGCAGGTTTAGTCAGCTGATCTCTTCATTTTGAGTTTTATCTATTCTTGTTACCTCAGCAGCCGGTGTGTAACCATAGGGTCTGGTCGGCTCACTACACTCAGAGGAAAGGCAAGACGGACATATAACCAGATTGTGACCGGCACCATCAGTATTAGAACTCTGCGCTGGCTGCTGAAGATGAGGACGAGCACGCTTGAGATGCCCTGAGAGCTGTGATGTCAATTCTGGACCCAACTGTTACCCCGGCAGCTCTTCTAAGACATCTCACATCTGTTATTATGATTTTGGGCTCATTGGTTGCAGTACACTGCCCCTCCCCACACCCACCACTAGTGGCATACGGTTAGCCCAAAACATTGTTCTTAGCTTCTGTATTCATACCAATGTGCTTGTTTACTGCATAGCTGTGAAAGTTGTACCATTCGGCTTACACATCCGCCTTCTGCAGGTATTTGTTCCTATTAGATTCGACTTGGTAGACAAATGCGGGTACTTTATTTTTAATTCACTCCAAACAAAGGAAATTCCTGAGTTTCCCGAATGGTCCAGTATTCTAAGAGTGTTATGGATTGGGGTCAGGGTTAAGATCTTTGACAACGTTGACCACCTCAGAGACACTGACTAACACTAACCTGCATAACACCCCTAGAATATTGGACTTTTCTAGGAACTCCAGGATTTTCTTTGTTTTGGGTGAATTAAAAATAAAGCTCCCAAACATATTCCCCTATGTCTAAAATTGGTGTTGATGGCGATATTGGGAATTACAAATGTAATAAGAATACTAAAATCTTGTACATTTCCTTTTGCAGCTACACCCTCAGGTCCTTTCAAATTTGCCGGTGCAGGACAGAAGTTGTTTGGGGGAGGTGCGGCTGCCCCCGCTGGTAGAGGAGATGATGAAGCTGATGGCGATGACGCCGGGGTAGTGCCCAGCGATGACATCCACTTTGAACCTGTCATACCTCTGCCAGAGTTGGTGAAAGTAAAAACAGGTTAGTCTGAGAGTGTGAATTATTTTCCCTTCATTTTTTTCTTCTTCTTCTTTTTATTATTATTATTTTTAATTTATCATCATTTTAATTAACTTCAGTTTTTAATTTTATCTGTTCTTGTTACTCCAGCAGCACTTCTTAGACATTTCGTCTCTTTTGTTATCTTCTTCTTCTTATTCTTCGCGTTCACCAGCTGTAAACTCTGGCGAAAAGTTCTGGTTGTTCATCCACTTCTGGACTGCAATCCTGTTCCAGATCCTGAGTGTTGTGTGTGCATCCCTTTTATAGATCTAACTCATTTGTGTGTAGACTGCTGGTTCCTTGCCTCTCAGGCAGATGCACTCCAACTTCGAAAGAAATCTTTTGTAAGGATTTTGTGCTCATTAATTGAAATAAGGATACATCTTTTGTAACACTTGTAGCATAACATTGGCCAACAAATTGTTCTTATTCAATTTAACTTGGTAGACAAAGGTTCTGTTTGCATGGTCAACGATTGTTTACCATGCCTGTCATTCATATTCTTTTTTCTGCTTTTTCTGTAACCTTTAGATGTCTATCTAAATGTATTTAAAAAGCAGCAGTCAGCCACAGCCCGTTGACGACTCCAGAAAGAATTTCTCTTGATGTGCCTTTTCTTGGGAAGGGGAAAAGAGCACCATGTCGATAGGTTCAGGATTTGATTTGATTCAGGTTCAAGAGTTGTTCTCCATGAAGAGTGGCAAGCATCGCTTCAGGGGTCCTGGGTGGTAAGTTAGTATCCTTTGGATACTTTCCCCAGGATATAGTGGTGTATTAGGAAATTAACAGGCAGATAGACTGACTGGTTTTGCACAACCCTTGTGATATGTTCTGTGTATGATATGCCAAGGATCCTTCTCCAGGCATATTGCACATTAAGTGCAATACCTAAATTTCATAGATCAGTCAGCACTGGGATTGAATGATGTCTGCATCGCCTGGGCCAGCTTTACTTCCCAGGACTTTACTTGGTACCAGTTGTTACCCATTTAAGGCTTGGGTCAACCTGGGAGCCAAGGTCATTTTTGAAAGAGTAATGTTCAGCTCCGTTCAGATTTGAACCCATGACCCTCATATCCGCAGGCAAGTACCATGCCACTACATCATGTCAGCTGCCATCCGGCACAATAAAATTTTTTTTTTTACTTCCATATTTCCTAGGTGAAGAAGACTGGACCCCACTGTTTTGTCACAGAGCCAAGTTGTACAAGTTCGACAAGGACCTGTCGCAGTGGAAGGAGAGGGGTGTGGGTGACATCAAGATTTTGGGCCACAACACAAAACGTAGGTTTGGTTTATGATGTTAACTTATCTGGCCTTAGACGTTTGTCTGGCTTATTTTGTGTGTGTGTGTGTGGCTTGTTATCTTGACTTTGTGTACTTCTAATTTGTTACCTTGACTTAGTCTACTTCTGACTTGTTATCTTGACTTTGTCTACTTCTGACTTGTTATCTTGACTTTGTCTACCTCTGTCTTTTCTTCATTTTTATCTGACTTGTGTAGAACTTATATCTGACTTGTTATCTTGACCTTTGTCTGGCTTGTGGTAGTACTTTAATCTAGCTTGTTATCTTGACCTCCATCTTGGGTAAATGTGGATGTTTGTCTGGCTTGTTGACTTTTTTCCTAGCTTGTTATGTTGACTTTGATCTAGCTTCTTTAGAGAGATGGTATCTTACATCTACTGACCTTTATAGCACATATTTTATTGTTGAGGTTAGTTTACATAGAGGTTATGAATCAGTTATGAGGTTAGTTTACATAGAGGTTATGAATCAGTTATGAGGTTAGTTTACACAGAGGTTTTGAATCAGTTATGAGGTTAGTTTACAAAGAGGTTATGAATCAGTTATGAGGTTAGTTTACAAAGAGGTTATGAATCAGTTATGAGGTTAGTTTACAAAGAGGTTATGAATCAGTTGTGAGATTAGTTTACACAGAGGTTATTAATCAGTTATGAGGTTACTTTACACAGAGGTAATGAATCAGTTATGAGGTTAGTTCACACAGAAGTTATGAATCAGTTATGAGGTTACTTTACACAGAGGTTATGAATCAGTTATGAGGTTACTTTACACAGAGGTTATGAATCAGTTATGAGGTTACTTTACACAGAGGTTATGAATCAGTTATGAGGTTAGTTTACACAGAGGTTATGAATCAGTTATGAGGTTTACATAGAGATTATGAATCAGTTATGAGGTTAGTTTACAAAGAGGTTATGAATCAGTTATGAGGTTAGTTTACAAAGAGGTTATGAATCAGTTATGAGGTTAGTTTACAAAGAGGTTATGAATCAGTTGTGATCACAGAGGTTATTAATCAATTATGAGGTTAGTTTACACAGAGGTAATGAATCAGTTAGGATCAAAGGTTATACATGAGGGTTACTTTATGAATCAGTTAGAGGTACACAGAGGTATGAATCAGTTATGAGGTTTTAGTTCACACAGAGTTATGAATCAGTTATGAGGTTACTTTACACAGAGGTTATGAATCAGTTATGAGGTTAGTTTACACAGAGGTTATGAATCATGAGGTTATGAGGAGGGTAGTTTACACAGAGGTATATGTTAAGGTTAGTTTACAGAGTTATGAATCAGTTATGAGTTAGTTTACAAAGAGGTTATGAATCAGTTATGAGGTTAGTTTACACAGAAGTTATGAATCAGTTATGAGGTTGTTAGTTAAACCTACAAAATCAATTATGAGTGTTAGTTACAGGTTATGAATCAGTTATGAGGTTAGTTTACACAGAAGTTATGAATCAGTTATGAGGTTAGTTTACACAGAGGTTATGAATCAGTTATGATGTTAGTTTACACAGAGGTAATGAATCAGTTATGATGTTAGTTTACAAAGAGGTTATGAATCAGTTATGAGGTTAGTTTACAAAGAGGTAATGAATCAGGTATGATGTTAGTTTACACAGAGTTTATGAATCAGGTATGATGTTAGTTTACACAGAGGTTATGAATCAGTTATGATGTTAGTTTACACAGAGTTTATGAATCAGGTATGATGTTAGTTTATACAGAGGTTATGAATCAGGTATGATGTTAGTTTACACAGAGGTTATTAATCAGTTATGATGTTAGTTTACACAGAGGTTATGAATCAGGTATGATGTTAGTTTACAAAGAGGTTATGAATCAGTTATGATGTTAGTTTACAAAGAAGTTATGAATCAGTTATGAGGTTAGTTTACATAGAGGTTATAAATCAGTTATGAGGTAAGTTTACACAGAGGTTATGGGGTTAGTTTACACAGAGGTTATGAATCAGTTATGAGGTTAGTTTACAAAGAGGTTATGAATCAGTTATGAGGTTAGTTTACACAGAAGTTATGAATCAGTTATGAGGTTACTTTACACAGAGGTTATGAATCAATTATGAGGTTAGTTTACAAAGAGGTTATGAATCAGTTATGATGTTAGTTTACACAAAGGTTATGAATCAGTTATGAGGTTAGTTTACACAGAGGTTATGAATCAGTTATGAGGTTAGTTTACACAGAGGTTATGAATCAGTTATAAGGTTATTTTACACAGAGGTTATGAATCAGTTATGAGGTTAGTTTACACAGAGGTTATGAATCAGTTATGAGGTTACTTTACACAGAGGTTATGACTCAGTTATGAGGTTAGTTTACACAGAGGTTATGAATCAGTTATAAGGTTAGTTTACAAAGAGGTTATGAATCAGTTATGAGGTTAGTTTACATAGAGGTTATGAATCAGTTATGAGGTTAGTTTACAAAGAGGTTATGAATCAGTTATGAGGTTACTTTACACAGAAGTTATGAATCAGTTAGTTATGAAAATGGGAAAGGTAGGGCCAGATTCTGAAAGGTTGACCTGGACAACAAATTCTTGAAGTAGTTGGATGTGTCAGCCAAAAAGAGTAAATTTAGCTGTGCTGTAGTCGTCTTGTTCTTCTTCGCGTTTACCAGCCGTAAACTCCGGTGGAAAGTTTTGGCTATTTATTCACCTCTGCTCTTTAGACTTGTTCCAGAACTTGAGTATTACATGCATATCTGTTTTACAGTCTGACTTATTTTTATGCAGACTCCTGGTTCCTTGCCTGTCAGGCAGATGCATTCTGACTTGAAGGAAACTCCCAGTCAGTCGACTCATATGACATGCTTGTTGGGGAGATAGTGGGTCTATTCTTTCTTGTTTTCCCCCCAATGGGGTCCCGGAACCCACACGGAGACTATGCTGTAGTAAACAAGGCAAAACATATGTATACAAAAGTAAAAATTAAAATATAGAAACAAACGTCAGACATCCGAAGGTTACAAGTATGCCAGACTGGAGAAATTCTTTGATCTGTGAATCTGAGGTTTGTTTTTCTTGCTTGCAGCCATGTTCAGAGTCCTGATAAAGATGCTGTTATTCATTTCCCGTGCAATAATCATACTTACTTACTTAGTCGCTCTTCTTCCACCTTGGGGTGTAGAGGTTTGCCATAGAGATTGCCAGGTCAGCAGTTTATTCCGACTTTGTTCCATTCCAGGCCTATTTCAGTCAGGGACTATCAGATAGTGTCTTCCTAGCGGATCCTAGGTTGCCATGAAGGTCTGGTTCCCAGGTTCTTAACCTCGCATGCCTGCCATGGTGGCTGATTTTCTCCCATTCTGCATACATGTCCAAACCATCTTAACTGACTGATCCACCCGGGTTTGTAAGGACTGGGCATTAAGATCTTGACGTATTGTCTGATTGCAGGCTATGTCCCTTCTTGTCACTTGGACCATCTTTCTCAGATATCTCATTTCTGAGGCCTGAGTGCCATAATTATGCATATCTTTATTCTGAATTCTGCTTGCTTGTTTTGGTGTCTCCTTAACTGTGTTCTTGTAACCTGATGTCCGGTCTCTCTCTAGACTGAACAGGGGTCTCTGCAACTTCTTATTTTTTTTCCTTTGTTCTTTTTCTTAGCATTAACGGACTGTAAACTCTGAAAGGAAGTCCTGGCTGTTTGTTCGCTTCAAAATTTTGGTCTCGTTCCAGTATATAAGTGTTGTTTGTACATTTATTTTACAGATCTGGCTTATTTTTATGCAGATAATGTTTCCTCACCTCTCAGGCACATCCACTCTGACTTCATAGGAAACGTCAGTCCTGTATGTTGGCCAGACCTCTTGCTGGGAGCATGTTTCTAGGATTTTCTTCTTCGCGCTTACTGGCAGTAAACTCTGGTGGAAAGTTCTGGTTGTTTGTCCACCTCTGGACTTTAGTCTTATTCCAGAACCTGAGTGTTACGTGCTCATCCGTGCTCATGCAGATTATTGGTTCCTTGCCTCTCAGGCAGATGCACTCCGACTTCAAAGGAAGTCCCCAATAAATTGACTCCTAATGACATGTTTGTTAGGGAGGCACTGGGTCTGTTCTTGTTTTCCCCACAATGGGACCTGGAACCCACACGGGGATGTTTCTAGGATGACTGGTAAGAGGTGCAGACAAGTCTGAGCTCTGCTGCTGGTGCACCTCCACGTGTGGTTCAGTACCTCTGTGACTCCTTAACTCATTCAGCAGTACCTGCTAAGAAAGTGGGAGGAACGAATGAACGAACAAACTTTATTTTCAAAGGGTTACAAATTGGGCACGCAGGCCCGTCTGACATTCGGCCCTTCTAAGTACTTATTTTTCAGAGTACCAATACCTGTTATCAATAATGCATGTTATGGATATAATAAAGAAATATAAATTATAGAATAATGCATACACACATCATGTGTACACAATTGTACACACTCACACACACATATACATACTCCTACGTTCTAATACATGCAAACTCGTATACAGACCTACGTGATACACACACACCCGCGTCTACATACATATAAAAACATAAAACACATATACATACATTGACAAATGCACAAACAGAAAACACAAACACATACATTGTACACACATACTGGAGAGTGTAAACAGAAAGACAATGCTGTAACTTACCTTGAGGGACAGTGGGCCATCTAATCTGCCAAGCCAGAGATAGAGATGTCTACCACTCACTTGGCCGACATGATCATTCTGTTCCTCAGGACAGGGCATTCCAAACTTAACAAGCATAGCCACAGGTTTGGTAATCTAAGCAGTTCAACATTGCCCATGAGAGCTGTGTGCACAAAGCACAGAACATATCCTGCAAGACAGTCCATCTTACAGCCGTTTAAGAAGGAAATATTGGCCCAGAGAATCAACACCTACTCAAGTTGTGGGGAACCAAAAAGAACCTCTAAAAAATTGTCACACGAACTTGCCTATCAATGTAAATCAGGGAAGCAGTCATAAGAAGTAAGAAGAAGAATTCATACCAAGCAGTTTAGTCATATGTTTCTTTTGCCCAGCTCGCTAGCGTAGTTGGTTAAACCTGATTTCGACGACCGGGTGACGACTCCTTGTGCTCTGAGTTCACCCCTGGGGGTAGGCAGAAAAGCCACAATTCTCCCAAATTTACGGTATCTGGAATCAAGGTCGAAGGGTTGCAATATTCATCGCACCGAGCCAAAGGGTTAACAACTCATGGTTTCTGGATATTTAAAAAAAAATGTTTCTTTTGACTCCTGGATTTACATTCACCTGTAACATACCCATGCTGTTACAAATTTTACTACCATCCTGCGGTTGTATGTCAGATGAAATCAGTTTGGCCCACAGAGGCCTGACAAGTGGCCTGCGGACCACCTGCCAGTGGTATATATTGTATTTCTGATCTTTCTAAGCTGGGGCTCAGGCCTCTGGAACACGACAGGCCCCATTTTCAAAACTTGTGGCCCCTCTACAAGTTGTCTGTATTTTTCTTTCTTGCCTTGCTCTTTCCCATCAATCTTGCTGGTTGTCACCGAAAGTCCTTATGATGATGTGTCCATAAAACACTGACTGTCTATGTCTAATTTCTCTTATTAAAAATGTTTGTCACTCAATGAGGACGCCTCATTTGGCTTTCTGCTATTCCATGAAAGTCTTTGCTGCAATACATGTTTATGATAGGTGAGTTAACTTAATCAGTAACAAGTGAAGTCAAGGACCCCTACGATGCCTCACGTCATATGAGGCATACAAGGCTAGACCAATCAGCACTTGCTAGGTGATGCCAGCATCATGCCAGCAGCCTTTACTTCCCACAACTTCACCTGGTACTCACTCAAGGCTTGGTCGACCTGGGAACCTGTACGGGTTCTTTTTCCTTTCTGTACGGGCTACCAAGTAAACGATTATTCTACGGGTACAACTGACAACTAGCCAACGACTGGCAGAAAAACGCCGTATCGAAGTCAACCCTTGAAAACTGCTACATTCCAGAAATACGTCGTTGGCAGGCAAATACAAGAATTTTATTAAGCAATTCCTCACAGATATAAATGGTGTCAATGAAAGGCATAGTACAGTCACTATATTAAACGACGGTTCCTCCTATCTGGAGCAATGAGCCTCAGCTCCCCGCAAACTGCGGCATCAACTACGGATCCATCTAAGACTGGTTTCCAACCTCGGCCATCAACACATTTCTTGCAACCGTCATCTGTCTGGAATAAATTCCTGTCGGCAAGTGACGTTGTGTCTCTCGTCATACCCTATGTTCATTATCGGTTGTCCGTAGTGTGGATCTTCGGATTGCACACAACAGCTTCAAGGCAATTTTCGAGAAAAAAATCTGATTCCGTTTGGACTTGAACCCAAACCTTCGGATGCACAAAGCTAGCATCTAGCTGCTACACAGCGACAGCTCCCAACATGTCATATCTAGAACTGAACATGTTTAGGAATTGTTCCAAATTTATTTTACAGATTTAAACATTTTGTATAGTTATGCCAGAATGACATTTCTCAAATTCTAGTCTTTGTTTTAAATTCTACAGACCAAAGAAACAGCAGAGGAATTCAAAACCACGTTTGTGAAATGTCAAGAAAAACTCCGACAGATAAACAGTGGTAGGTAGCTGCCGTGATTGTAGTGATACACCTGGATCGTGGCGGTTGTCATATTAGAAGGTTGTTTTTGTTTTTGTGTGCTTTCTTATGTATGTGCTGTATGAAGAGGTATTGTTTTGATTGTTTTGTCTTTGCTGACCATACCTCTGTGTCTTGTAATGCTGTCTTTCTTAAAATTTAAAATTTTTTTTCAGCTGTAACTTCTTTGTTATGTTGTAAAGCTAAGTCGAACATTGTAAACAGATTTTTTTTGTATGCTTCAGCTTCTTTGTTAAGTTAAAAGGTCTTCTTTAATTTGAAACTGTTTTTTTGTCAAGTTGTTACGTCTTCTTAGTTAAGTTAAAACTTCTTCTTTCAGTTTAAACTTTAGTTTTCTGTTTTACACAGCTATTTGTGACTTATTGACTTACTCTTGTAACTTGTTAATTAGGTTTAATGTCTTTGGTAAGTTGTTACTTTTTTGTTAAGGTGTAACTGCTGCTTTGTTAAGTTGTAACTTCTTCGTTAAGGTGTAACTGCTTCTTTATCAAGGTGTAACTTCTTTGACAAATTGTACCTTTTTTGTTAAATTGTAATAGAAGACGAGGATACTTGAGCCTTGTTCCATTATTACTATCGGCTGCACTTGTGAAAATGTTTATGTTATACAAATAAATATTGTTACTGATTTTATTGTTGAATTGAAAAGTGACTTTATATTTTTACTGCTTCTGCATATCACACAAATCTGCATTGCATGAGGCCCTTATTGAATATTTACGCCCCTAAGTTAAGCTGCATCTTAACAGAATTTTTTTTTGCAGTAAACAACACTACAGCTTTAAAATTACAGTTTTTAAAACAAACATTTCTTGCTTACACTGGCTCTTCTTTTTTGCATGCCAAGTGTAGATTATTTGATTTGTTGCTTAATCCAGTCTCACTTTTTCAGTTTGACAGGGTCTTTTACCAACTTTATGAGAACAAACTCGACAAAGAATCAGTGTTAAATCTTTTGAAGTCGGAGTGGGTCTGCCTTAGAGGCAAGGAAGCAACAGTCTGCCTACAGATAAGTCAGGTCTGTAAAATGGATGTGCACGCAACACTCAGTTTCTGGAACACGTCCAAAGTCCAGAGGTGGATGAACAACCAGAACTTTTCCCCGGAGTTTACAGCCAGTGAACGTAAAGAAGAAGAAAAAGAATTAATGTTTTTTTTTCTCTTTCAAATAGCGTTTTTCATTGTGAATTGAAGCGACACAGGGTTTACTGCCTGACGTAGGTGCATTACCACATAATTCACATCAACGTAAAATAAATCACAAAAGGAATTTATGTAACATAAATTCACCGGTCACGTTGTCTCTTGTGATACTGTAATCTCACCACGGAAGTCTGAGATTAACCGTAGTATCCTTGTGTTTACTAAATATTGGATTGCCCATCAAACTGCCTCACTGAATTTCAATAACTGCAGTTATTACAAAAAAATATTTACCTTTCTTCATAAAGGTCAAATATGTTCTGATTATTTCCACTTTTCTAAACATTATTTTACGAGCAATGTTTTTTTCTCTGTATTTGTAACTACACAGTCAAGATGCATGCAGTTTTTACCCAGTTAAATTGCCTTTGTAACCTTGGATGAAGTCTTAGATCCAGTGATTTGTCACGTGTGTGTGCATGTGTATGTATGTTTAAAAGTAGGCTTATTTGATTTTCTTTTTAATAATTAAATTGGGGTAATTAACTTGTACTGGGGGCTTCTTCTTGTATTATAAGGTTTTTTCTTTATGCTATTTTGTTTTTAATAATAACCTAAGGTGCAGGTTTCTGTGTTTGTTTGTATGTGTATGTGTGAGTGAATTGACGAGGTTATTGCTTATTCAAATAAATTAACTGTATGTTTTAAAAAAAAAGGGATAAATTCGGTTTGACCTATTTTGTTAGAATACGCAGTGTGTTATTCCAGTTTGTGGGTTTTCTATATTGGTTTAACCCTGAAATTTGTGTAAGTCTGTACTTAGTTAGTCGACAAATTATCCTTATTGCACATCGAATCATTCAGTCCATAAGTGCTCAGATTCCCTCCTGAGTAAATTCTGCATCTACAACATGTAGGGGCTCATAAACCAGTTTTGTGCTGGTTTCTTAGTCTTCTTTGGCTTCCTGCATAGTGCTCTTGTCTGGTCACAGCCCTTTTAACATGATGTTCTTGCAGTCTAGTCGTGGTTGCAGATTCACTGTCATCATTTGACTTTCGCAAACATCTTATTCTCCTAGAGTATTCAGAATATCAGAATGGTCCGTGGCTTGTCTGACCTCCCCAGCAGCTTTACCTGCAAGCCCATCAGCTTGCTCATTTCCTTGCATGCCTGCGTGCACTGGCACACATATGACACTGATATGTGTCAGCCCCGACCGCTTTAGAGACTGCATCTTTTCAGATCCAGCACCTCTCTGTCTTCCTGAGCATACTCATTGAGTCATGGAGAAAAGCATGCATGGGGAAATGACTGTATCTCCAGTTTGTACATGTTTTATATCAGCCAATGAGTTCATCATTGAAACAATAACTCCTTCTGTCGGTGAAGTACCATTTTAGCAAGAATGATTGGTCACATTGGTATACTGGTGCACACCCTAAAAATAGTAGGTCTACAATATCCTTAAACTGTAACCTATGATAGCTCTGGGTTGAGAGGCAGAATTACATGGGTGGGGTTCATAGCAATGGATGACCCTCAGTACAGCGATGCCTGACATATATCACAATATCTAAGTTGAGAATGGAGATAGAGGCAGTCACAGCATTCTGTTGGCTTCAGAACCAGCTGCACACACTTGTTGTGATTGTAGCTGACTCACAAGGCAGGCTGAGAAAGGTGCAGACAGGTATGCTCATTGCAGAATAGCAAGCATCGCTTCATAGGTCCAGAGTAACTAGCATCCTTTGGATTCTCCAAGACATGCAGGTGTGTTGGGAAATTAATAGGCTGGTTCTGCACCGCTTAATGATAAATTGTTGCATGACAAGCTAGATGTTGTCAAGGCCTTTTGTGAAGAGTAAACAGTGCAGAGGCACGAATAGATCAGTCTGAAGAGAATGGTGCAGTGACAAGGGGGATCTGGCCGAAATTTACACTTAGAGGAAAAGTGAGACAGACGTACAATAAGACTGCTAATGGCACCATCATAGTTGGAACTTTTCACTGGCTGCTAAAGATGGGGACTGAGCACTTACGAGTACTATGCTGTGAAGTTAGTTCTTGAAACTGAACTCTGCAACTGGAAGCCCCAGGGCCACAGAAGCACACAAACTAGAAAATTAGAGACAGAAAGGGAAAAGATGGGGGAGGAGCATGAATTGAGCTCTGTGACAGGGCTGTTCAGCTTTTTTTTTCAGATGGCTTAAATGTTGGAAAGTAGGGATCGTCACGGGCCAGAGGTCTAAGCGCCAGCAGAGAAAGAGCATTAATACAGATAACTGACAGGTGATCTGTGGGCCACTTGTTAGGCCTCTGCGGGCCAGATTTGGTCTGCGGGCTGCCAGTTGAATAGCCCTGTTGTATGAGGTGGCAAATGATAGAATGTCTTCGCAGTCACAAGCTGTAAACTCCAGCAAAAAGTTCTGGCCTTTCATACCCCTCCTGGACTGTTGGTCTTTTTCTGGGAATTGAGCTTTGCATGCACATTCATTTTATAGATCTGGCTAATTTTTGTGCAGACAGTTGGTTCCTTGACCCTGAGACAGGTGCACTCATACTTTGAAAGAAACATTGGTCCTGACTATGTTGGTCAGGTAGCTGAGAGCATGAATCTTGGATGACCACGGAGAGGTGCAGATAGGTCTTGACTGGTGAGAGTCCAGGTGTACCACGTGTTTCAGCATCTCTGCAACCACCCTTCTCAAAAGGATGTTGTAAAAGGCAACTAATTAGGGGTTTGTTGAAATCGAATCCATTGGGTCAAAAGGGGCAGATATCACAGCAAACAAATTCCAGCAACCCTTTTGAGAGAATACAGAAGACTACCCAGTTTGCCATAACTCCTTTCAGTCCCGAGGGGTTTAGCATCAGAAGCCCAAGGGGTGGTAAAGATAGATGTAAAATCAGAACATCTTGTGTTACTTGGGCTTCTGAGTAGGAACCTATGAATGTTTGATGCGTTCCTTTGAACTGCAAGAGTTAAAGCTTGAACAAAGGGCCCCTTATTACCAATGTGAATGATTACCACACAGTTAACGCAACTGTTATTTTGTGTTATTGGTTGTAGCGTTTTAACTCTTTTGGTATCAAATAGCACATTACTCAGGTACCCAAAGAGTTGAACAGTTTGGGTTGTGGCACTGAACATGTTTTTCAATCTTCATTCAGAGAGCGCCATGGCTGAGTCTTCGCCTGCCTCTAGTGCTGCAAGTGCTGGCACCCGGGGCCCAGTTCAGCATTCACTGTCTATGGATGTGGCAATGCAGGACATAATAACTCCTTCATTTTATAACCCCGCTGGCTTTGGTAGTCCAGCTTCAGCTTTGACTGCTAAATCCTACACTCAGTTGGGATGTAGAGGCAGCATCCACCACACAGAGGCACTGGATGTAGCCGGACAAGGTATGGTAACGCCTTCGTCATATTTCCAGCAAGGTGATAGAGGCAATATTTACCACACAAAAGCACTGGATGTGGCTGGACAAGATACTATTTCAGCAACTTCATACTCCCAACAAGGTGATAGAGGCAACATTTACCACACAAAAGCACTGGATGTGGCTGGACAAGATACTATTTCAGCAACTTCATACTCCCAGCAAGGTGATAGAGGCAACATTTACCACACAAAAGCACTGGATGTGGCTGGAGAAGATACTTTTTCAGCAACATCATACTCCCAACAAGGTGATAGAGGCAACATTTACCACACAAAGGCACTGGATGTGGCAGGACAAGATACTATTTCAGCAACATCATACTCCCAACAAGGTGATAGAGGCAACATTTACCACACAAAGGCACTGGATGTTGCAGGACAGGATGCAATGACCATGAGTTCCTACACACCACTTGGAGGAAGACAGAAGCAAGAGATACCACATACATTTGACACACAGGCAGCTTCAGACTTTCAACAGTTAGGCAGCAGAGGAAATATTTTTCACACCAGAGCTTTACATGTCATTGGAAAGGATACAGTGACTGCAACTTCTTATACAGCACTTGAAAGTGTGATCAGTGAAGGAAATATGACTGCACAATGTGAGGCACCGCTTGGTAGTGAAACAAGTGAAGCAAGAATGTCTGCAACATCTGTGACTCCACTCGGTGACAAAGGAAACATCTATCACTCAAAAGTCTTGGACATTGCAGGACAGGATACCATGATGGCATCTTCTTATGCACCACTTGGTCACGAAATCACTGGAGCAACTTCGGCATCCTACATACCACTCAGTAGTAAGAAAACCAAACTAGGCATGCAGGCAACATCAGTATCTCCATTGGGAGATAAGGGAAATATCCACCACTCCAAGATGTTAGACATTGCAGGACAGGATACAATGATGCCTTCCACATACACACCACTTGGTCAAGGACATTCTAAGCTGAGCTTAACTTCAGCAACTGTGACCCCATTGGGAGATAAGGGAAATATCCACCACTCCAAGATGTTAGACATTGCAGGAAAAGATACAATGATGCCTTCCACATACACACCACTTGGTCAAGGACCTTCTAAGCCGAGCTTAACTTCAACAACAGTGACTCCATTGGGAGATAAGGGAAATATCCACCACTCCAAAATGTTAGACATTGCAGGACAGGATACAATGATGCCTTCCACATACACACCACTTGGTCAAGGACCTTCTAAGCCGAGCTTAACTTCCACAACTGTGACTCCATTGGGAGATAAGGGAAATATCCACCACTCCAAAATGTTGGACATTGCAGGACAGGATACAATGATGCCTTCCACATACACACCACTTGGTCAAGGACCTTCTAAGCCGAGCTTAACTTCAACAACAGTGACTCCATTGGGAGATAAGGGAAATATCCACCACATCAAGATGTTAGAAATTGCAGGACAGGATACAATGATGCCTTCCACGTACACACCACTTGGTCAAGGACCTTCTAAGCCGAGCTTAACTTCAACAACTGTGACTCCATTGGGAGATGGAAATATCCACCACTCCAAGATGTTAGACATTGCAGGACAGGATACAATGATGCCTTCCACGTACACACCACTTGGTCAAGGACCTTCTAAGCCGAGCTTAACTTCCACAACTGTGACTCCATTGGGAGATAAGGGAAATATCCACCACTCCAAGATGTTAGACATTGCAGGACAGGATACAATGATGCCTTCCACATACACACCACTTGGTCAAGGACCTTCTAAGCCGAGCTTAACTTCCACAACTGTGACTCCATTGGGAGATAAGGGAAATATCCACCACTCCAAGATGTTAGACATTGCAGGACAGGATACAATGATGCCTTCCACATACACACCACTTGGTCAAGGACCTTCTAAGCCGAGCTTAACTTCCACAACTTTGACTCCATTGGGAGATAAGGGAAATATCCACCACTCCAAAATGTTAGACATTGCAGGACAGGATACAATGATGCCTTCCACATACACACCACTTGGTCAAGGACCTTCTAAGCCGAGTTTAACTTCAACAACTGTGACCCCATTGGAGAGATAAGGGAAATATCCCACTCCAAGATGTTAGACATTGCAGGACAGGATACAATGATGCCTTCCACATACACACCACTTGGTCAAGGACCTTCTAAGCCGAGCTTAACTTCCACAACTTTGACTCCATTGGGAGATAAGGGAAATATCCACCACTCCAAAATGTTAGACATTGCAGGACAGGATACAATGATGCCTTCCACATACACACCACTTGGTCAAGGACCTTCTAAGCCGAGCTTAACTTCAACAACTGTGACCCCATTGGGAGATAAGGGAAATATCCACCACTCCAAAATGTTAGACATTGCAGGACAGGATACAATGATGCCTTCCACATACACACCACTTGGTCAAGGACCTTCTAAGCCGAGCTTAACTTCAACAACTGTGACTCTATTGGGAGATAAGGGAAATATCCACCACTCCAAGATGTTAGACATTGCAGGACAGGATACAATGATGCCTTCCACATACACACCACTTGGTCAAGGACCTTCTAAGCCGAGCTTAACTTCCACAACTGTGACTCCATTGGGAGATAAGGGAAATATCCACCACTCCAAGATGTTAGACATTGCAGGACAGGATACAATGATGCCTTCCACATACACACCACTTGGTCAAGGACCTTCTAAGCCGAGCTTAACTTCCACAACTGTGACTCCATTGGGAGATAAGGGAAATATCCACCACTCCAAGATGTTAGACATTGCAGGACAGGATACAATGATGCCTTCCACATACACACCACTTGGTCAAGGAAAAGCAAACCAGATCATAAACAGGAGTAACCAAGAAGCTTTAGTTGCAGCCTGTATTACACCATTAGGAGACAAAGGGAATATTCATCACTCCAAAGTCTTAGATGTTTTGGGACATGATTATATAAAAGCATCATTCTATATGCCACTCGGCGATGATGAATCTGAACTGGGGATAATACCAAAATCACAAGCTTCAGTAGGATGCAGCCAGAGCTTCTTCAACCCATTGTCTGGTGGTTCTGAAGATAAGGGATTATCTGGATCTGTTTCATCCAGTGTGGTTGGCACATTGAGTCAGCAGCAGACCCAAGAACAAAGTTCCCAACAGCAAGCCTCTGCTTCTTTGACATCACAGGCGGGACAAAGTCCTCCTGATCGCAGTCCTAACACCAAAGAGCAAAGCCCAATTAAAAGACAAATCCTCCCACACCATCCTACAGCTGGTCCGCTGTGGCTGGGTTCTGTCTTATCACCACATGCTACTGGTATGTCCGGCTTTTTGCTGTAGTCCACTGCATTGTGCATACAATAGCCAATACTAGCATGGGCCTACCACAGGCTTCTTGAAAACACCATAACCATATAATCATGTATTGAAATGCTTTCTAGTGTTTTGTGCCATCATAACCTCCCATGTTTGCATCAGCTTTTTCCAAACATGCACCATATACTACTAGATTTCAAATTGTTTAGCATTTTAACTAATTTTTTAATGCTTTAAGCTGTAGTATGATGTTCCCATGCCACCCATCCTGTTCCGTCAGGTCTAAAAGTATAGCACCGTATACAAGTATATTTCTTCTTCTCCTCCTTCACTTTCTTCCTCTTCTTATTCATCTTCATCTTCTTTTTCTTCTCCTCCTCTTTGCATTCACTAGCTGTAAACTCCGTGGAAATTTTCTAGTTGTTAGTCCATTCCTAGACTCTGGTCTTATCCAAAACTTTTGCATGCACATCCATGCAATTCTGGCTTTTTTTTTTTGGGTATGCAGACTGTTGGTTGTTTGCCCCTCAGGTACACCCCCCTAATTAGTCATCTTCTGTGACATGCTTGCTGTGTGCTCAGTGGGTCTTTTAATTGCTCTCCCAAATTTAAACCAAGGACCCACAATTAGATTTCAAATTGTATAGCATTTTAACCCCCCCCCCCCCCCCCCCCCCACACACACACACACACACACATTATTGTTTGGAAGGAAAGACACCTTCCAGTAAAAAGCCTGGGGTCTGAAATTCGTGTTTTTCTCTTTCTCCCCCCCCCCCCCCCCACACACACACACACACACACACACATTATTGTTTGGAAGGAAAGACACCTTCCAGTAAAAAGCCCGGGGTCTGAAATTCATGTTTTTCTCTTTCTCTCCCCCCCCCCCCCCCCCACACACACACATTATTGTTTGGAAGGAAAGACACCTTCCAGTAAAAAGCCAGGGTCTGAAATTCGTGTTTTTCTCTTTCTCCCCCCCCACACACACACACACACACATTATTGTTTGGAAGGAAAGACACCTTCCAGTAAAAAGCCAGGGGTCTGAAATTCATGTTTTTCTCTTTCTCTCTCCTCCCTCCCCCCTCCCTCCCCCCCCCCCCCCCACACACACACACACTATTGTTTGGAAGGAAAGACACCTTCCAGTAAAAAGCCTGGGGTCTTAGATTTGTCCTACTTGTATCTGGTTGAGGCTCACCCACCAAGTTTGTCTTTTACTAACAAATCTAAGTATTTTACTTCTGTCTTCTCCCCAGCGTCTGTGGTTTAGGTGTTGTGAACGCGATTCATAATGCCAGGGTGCCGGGTTCAATCCCAGCTATGGACGCTTTGTCCTGCATTGGTTTCAACAGTAGTACAGAGAGCTCAGTAAGCAGTGGAAAATACTGAACATACAGTGTGCCTAGAAAAACCACAACAAACCACAAAATGCTAAGGGTTGGTTCTGCAGTGTCCTGTTAAGGATACACAACTAACCTTGTCCCCAGAATGTTTTGGAAATGTGACATTGTCTGGTCATTACAAATAAGGCTATTAGAACTTGTTTGAGCCAAGCCATTGACGTCATCTGTTCATGGCTTTGTCTCCAGAGAGGTCGACAAAGATAGAGTCTAGTATCCTGACCAGCAAGCATCACTTCAGAGTTCCCGGGTAGTAAGCAGCCTTTGAATATTTTCTCCAGGTCATGCCCGTGTGTTGGGAAAGGAGCAGGCAGATAGACTGGCTGGGTCTCCACCACTTGAATGTGAATTGATGTATGATGAGTTAGATACTGTGGAGGCCCTTTGTGAGCAAGTTGACAGTGCAGAGGCGCAGATAGGCCATTACTGTCTGAGGAGAATGACGCTGTGAGGAGTTACCAGGGTATCTGGTCAACACTCAACACTCAGGGCAAGGATGAGACGGATATACAATCAGACGGTTACTGGTACCATCAGAATTGGAACTCTTCGCTTGCTGCTGAAGATGGGGACTGAGCACTTATAGGAAGTCCTGAGTGCTGTGATGTAGATTTCTAATTCAACATTCAACATTCATGACCAGTTTTGAGCCATAGAAGTTCCAGCACACTGGCTGTATTCCATACAAAGGGCTGTTTTCTAAGCAAAGGTTTTTGCTCCTAAAGAGTACGTTTATCAAGTTGAACATGTACCAGA